CAGGCACAAGAGCAACTGGACCAGCCGTCTCCATGTGCTTGTTGCCCCGTGCTCCCACATCCTCCCAGGATGCGGTCAGAATCTTGGCTTGAGGATGTGCCCTGCACCCTGCGTGTCCTGGAGGAGAGGAGGCTGCAAGGTCCACGGTCACCTGGAACAGGCTGAAGCCATCTGAAGACCAAAACCAGGGACAGACCTGCTCACCATTGCCGTTAGCTGATGTCAGGCAAGGTCCCAAGTTTCCTTTGGGAGACTGAAACTCAGCACCCGGAGCAGGAGGGAGCCAGGAGATTTGAGCAGGGACAGGCAGGCTGTAGGAGGGTGTTAGAGAACAAGCCGTGCCTGGGAGAGAGCTGTAAAATATTTGGTAGTCTCTCAAGCAAGCTGGCAGGAGAGTGAGTTCAGATGGACTCAAACATCATTTCCACCTGGTCTGAGAGCAGTCCAGAAGAGCGAGGCAGTGTGCGGAGCCGAGCTGAGATCAGAGCCTTGCAGTGACCCAGACTAATGCTCCCTTTTATCACCCAGCTTTAAACGCACGCTTTTATGATGTGCGAGAAAGGGGCATATGGTTCTCTAATTAACTCAAGAGTGCTGAGCTGTGAAGTGCTGCGAGGAAAAGCAGCTACAGCAGGGATGGCAGGGCCCGTCGTCAGCGTGGCTGCTCCCTCTGCCAAGCAGCCCCCGCTCAGCCCCGGGGGAAGCTGCCTCTGCCCGAGGGCACCGCCTGCCCCGCCAGCCATTCCCTGGGTAAAATATTTGCCCTCGAAAGTGCCACCTGAAAACCTCTCTCTGATGAAAATGACATTGATGCAGAGGATCTGCTCAAGCAGTAGTCCCCGGGGAAGTTCGCAGCGTGGCTGTTTCTTCTTCAGTCTTGTTTTGTTGGGGCTTTGCTCTTCGCTTTTGCATTTGGATGCTCTTTGCATCCAGCTGGATTAACAGGCGACAGCGGCGGGGTGACCTTGCCCCTATGGTGTCTGCTGTGGGTGGCCTCTCACCCGTCACATCTGCACACGTGGGGCTGGTGGGGACCTTCCTGAACCCACGGAGAACTCACCATCCTTTCATCTGCTCAGGCTGGGGCTCCCCAGACCCAGCACCGGGGCACCTCTGGGACTGGGAAAAGCCATCAACATTTCCAATAGAGCTAAAAGCTTGATGTTTGTCTGATTTACGTAAAAACAGTATGTCTGTGATTTCTATCCCTGAAATCAGAACTAAATCCCTAATAATTTGGATTCAAAGTGAAATGCCTGTTTCATTCTGAAACGTGATGGCTGGGTTTGCTTTATTTGTTCAGCCATGAAATATAACCCAGTTCCATGTTAGAATGAAAAATCCCCCAAATTTTGGTGAAATACTTCATCAGTATTCTTTCTGTTTGAAACCTCTTCAGTGAGCAGTTCACCTGGCCCGAGGCAACGTTCTGCAGTAAAAGAAGTATTAATTAAATTGAAATATTATCCATGTGTGAGTTACAAATGACGTCCTAATTGGCCGAGTTAAGCCGAGGCATTCCTGCGGGCAATGGGATCTGGGTGGCAGAGCAAAGGCGAACTTGAAAGCCTCTCAAGAGCTTCTTCCATGCACATCCCCAAGGCCAACAGCTCCTGTTTTTGGCATGTGGCTGATGCCAGGGCACTCACACCGTGGGGAATGGGCGTTTCAAACACTAGCTTGCAGGAGTATGTGGCAGGAAGAAATGTCTCTGTTCAGACCCTGCTCCTGGGAATAAAAGAGATGAGGACAGCGAAGCCTCTGTTATCTCATCAGGAATAAAGGATTTGAGGGCTGGAGACACCATTGCTTGAAGCGACAGGTGAAACTTTGAGACTGGGAGGAAAATTTAGTGATGGCTGTGACCCTGAGCAGAGAGAGGATTCAGAGGTAATGAGTTGTTTGTATCTGAAAGTGCGGAAGTTCTGGCCCTACAGAAAAGCCCCAAACACCAGGGGCTGCTGGTGGACCCTGGCAAAGGACCGAACTGGAGAAATTCCAAAACCTGGAGGAGGAGATGAGCCGTGCGGTCACAGCAGGACCCACTGGCATCAATTCCCTCTCCCGTTTGGTGAGGCTTATCCCCAGCACTGTCCAGCCGCCGAACCCTGTCTGGTGCCCTCTGTTACCCCCCACTTCCCCTGCGCCTGCCTGCTCTCCCAGCTCCTCTCATGTCCTCGTCTGACTCCTTTTGGCCAGCCTGCCGAGAGGAAACAGCGTGCGTTGGTGGTGGGCCAGGGCTTCACTTGTGCTGGAGCTCGCTGCCAGACTGCACAGCGAACGGCTGATCCTTCCCGGGGGGCTGTGTTTTGGGGCTCACTCCTCAGCCCAGACAGGCTGATGGGAACCAAAGGATGTTGAGACCTGCCAGGTCCGGGCAGTGTCTTGCAGGGCTTTTTGGGAGGGGAGCCAAACCCTAACAGACGGATAAAGTCATGGCTTCCCCTGGGAAACCAAGACCTATAGCTGGGCTTGGTGGAAAGAGAGGAGCAATTCAGAGAGTCCTCAAAATACAATACATGCTACCCAGGGGCTCTTGCCAGCCTGCCCATCACACCAAACCAGCAATCTATCAGTATTTCTTGCCTCCATCTCCAGGATGAGGTAGCAAGAAGAGGCTCTGGGTTATCTCTCACACATCCCTGGGAGAGGTATAGGCGCAGCTCCTCAGCGCGGTCCGTCCCGACTGTGCCAGGCACCAGTGGTGGTCTGGAGACATGGGGTCTGCAGGCTGATGGCAAACTGGCTGGGGTCCCCCTTCCCGTCCCATCCCACAGAGCCGCCTCTCAGAGGGAAACATGGGTTGGGGACGTGTCGGGAGGGATGTTTCCAGCACGGTCACTGGCTGGAGAAGAGCAGGACCATTGCTGACCAACCCCTGCCCCCAGTGATGGGTAAAGGGAGCCGGGCTGGGCTGGGCAGAGCCTGTCTGCAGGAGGATCTGCTGCATCTTCCCACCATCACTTCTGCCTTGGTGTCACCAGCCCTCACTCAGACCCTGACCCCTCCGCTGTCTCTGGCACGCTGTCTCCCTGTCACAAGGTCTCAGCCCTTCTTGTTCCTTCAGTTCCCGGCACTGAGAGCTGGACCTTTTCATCCCACATGGTGTTTAATCTCTCCTCTTCGCTCTCCCATATTGGACCAGACTGGTATCTCCTCCTTGGTCACTGCTCTGCAACACCGGGCCAGCCATCCCTCTCCTTGTCCCTCCATGGTGCTCTCCTTTTCCATTTTCCCCCTGATTTTGGTGCCTGGTTCCCCCACCCTCCTTGGTCCCCTTAATCTCTCCTGCATCAATGATCCCTTTGTTGATGGAGACACAACAACCAGCAGTGCCGGCTGGGTCCCTCATGCTGAAGGTCATGCCAGTTGGCTGCCAGCTGCAAGCCCTGCTCCAGCTCTCCTTGCCTTGTTCCAGCACCTTCTCATCTCGTTACCTGGTCCCCTCTGCCCTCTCCTCCTGTCCCCACACTTGCATCTCTGTGGAGAATCCCCAGCACGGCTGTCCCACAGACCCACGACCTCCTCCATCGCTTCTGTAGATTCCTCACCATGGTATTTTGTTAGAGCCATTAAACCCCACAGCCACATTTCCAGTTGCCTGGGCAGGGCTGGACCAGCTGTGGGAGACCACCCTGCACAGCAGTGGGTGTTTTCCCAAGGGGAAAAATAATGGGGAAACCTTTCGTGAGGGAGCCACAGGTCCCTGGGTAGCCCAGGGAGGGTGGCAGAGAGACCTAGTCACCAGTCTGCATGTATGTAACCAGATGCAGCCCTGATGGAAAGTACATTTTTAGCTTTTTGGAGGATTTCTGTCATTTCCCAGCAGGGAGATCATGAAATGCCAGCTCTCAGGATTGAGGGGCTTTTAATCGCACATGTGGTGCCTCTTTGGGAGCCAGACAAGAAGGCTGGAGATTACTGCTGAACCAAATCCTCTCCTTGACAAGAGTTTTGGCACAAGAAATTTATCTCAGGGTCACCTCACAGCTGAGCCAGTCCCTCTCGGTCTCCAGGTCACCTTGAAGCAGGATGGGCCAGTGTCCTCCAGCCTCTGTGGGGAATTACAGTTCCCTGTAAGGGGACTTTTTGGGAAAGGACATCCCCTGGGCACTGTCTCTGTGGATCTACAGCCTTTAATTGCCATTAGTGAATGCATCACTCTCCTTGCAGGTTTTTTAATCCCCATCTCCTGGAGTCATGCACCTGGGGGAGACTCAGATTTCACTTTGCTGAAAGGAAAATGCTAAGCCCTTCTGGATGCATAGGAAATCTGGAGGCATAAACCTTATGGCTTGAAAAGCAGAACACAAGAAATCATACCCAGTATGTGCTTTTTTTTTTTTTTTTTTTTTTTTTTTTAATAATTCTTAATTTGAAGCTCTGCTGATTTTTGGGCTCTGACTCATACTTGGGATTATCAGGGCTCTGGGAGCCATCGACTGGCATTTGTGGGGTGCACTGGGAGGGGAGGGAGACAGCCCAGCCCTGCCTGCTATATGTTTCCCCTCAACACCACAAGGATCTGGCTGCGAGATAATAGAGCTCCACCGCCTTTTCCTTAGGGCCCCTCTGTGCTACAGACACAAACTGGAGCATAGGCAGTGTCTAAAGTTCATGTTCTGGCTGAGTGTTACCAGTTACATCTCTGTGCTCAGTTGCCCACAACTTGCTTCAGTTTTCCCCTTCTGGGTTGATATTTTCCAGCCTCGATCTCTGCACAAAGGCGATTTGAAAGTCTCTTTGAACACGCTTTGGCCGTTTCAGAGAATGCAGGCAGTGAAAAGCAATATCTCCATAATAAACATACCCTTTTTTTTTTTTTTCTTTCAAGAATACAAAAGAATATTCCAATTTTTAAGCGGCTCTACTGCCGAAACTGCTGGGGGTCAGAGCTGATATCTGGCAGGGAATCAGTCCTGACTGAGAACGACTGTGGTGCGTTCCAGTAAACACTGTGTTTCAGTTGATGAAAACTATATCCACTCAGGCACAGCACATTTTGCAGTGATGGTACCTTTTAATCAACACTTGGAAAGCTCACAAGCAGCCCAGAGAAGGACAAAAACAGCCACTCTAAAGATCTGACCAAAGGTCTGTGGCAGTGGGGATGGAGGCAGACAGGGAAGAGGTTTCACGGCCAAGGTGGGAGCAGGGCTACACCACGGCCTGGAGTTACCTATCAGCAGCAGATGTTCAGCTGTCCTTGAGAAGGACAATGTGAATGAGATGTATGGAGCCAGGACCACTAAATCCCTCCTTGGCCAGCATCAGATTATAACAGTTCAACGATACATCACTGAAGGCTTCCCAGAACTACATAAATACCAAAGAGCGTTCGATGTAAATCATGGAAGGATTTAGGTAGGGAGGGGTATCTGGAGGTCTCCAGCCCAGCCCCTGAGCAAGTTATCACTCTAAAGCTGGGTCAGGTTTCTTAGAGCTTTGTCCAGGCATGTTTTCAACATGACCAAGGGTGGAGATCCCACCACTGCTGTCCCAGGGCCGCGCCACTCACAACACAATCTGAGCCTCACAGGTGCTGCACATCCACGTGTCTTCTCAGCACAAGGAGAACTGGTTGCCTGCAAGGGAAGGGGAGAGGATGAGAAATAGAGGCAAAGCCTGCAGAGACGGCTTCATCACACACATCACCTGGTTGTTCATGTATGGCAGAAAGCAGGAACCTGGGTTAAGTGTCTAGATTAGGGGCTGGGGATGCTGTCCCTCCTTCTCTCCCTGAGTGGACTCCAATGACAAACATTCCTGAGAGAATCTGAGGTCCCTCTGTGGCCGTGGGAAAATGATGCTGGTTCTGTCGGTCATGCCAAGGAAGAGCATCCCACCACCACACGTGGCTGCAGCTCTAGCTCTAGTCCCACTGAGCAGCAATCTTGTGTTGGCAAAACCTCTTCCCAAAACAAACGTGGGAAGCCACTTGCAGCAAAAGAAGAGCTAATGGAAAGTCAAGATTGGATGGGGTACAGCTGGGGTCACATGAGCCTCATTAGTTAATCAAACCCAACAGACACACATAAGATGGCTCCTGCCAGTGATGGGTGGGGAGAGGTTGCCTAAGCCCCTGCAGTCCCCAGGGAGTTCCTGTGGTGCTGGCAATGCCTCCCGTACTTTGAGAAACACCCCAGCACCGAGTGTACGTGGGGATAGCTGAGAAGATCCTGCCCATGATGCTGAAATGGGTCTCCATGGTGGCTTCCAGCCTCGTGCCAGGGATGAGATGGTTCCCCTGCGGCACCAGGTGGGTGCTAGATGGACGTCCCGTGGGACTGTGGCGTGGGCTGCACACAGGGTGGGTGAATGTTCCCCCCAGGGGACATGAGGGGCAGGTGCAACAGGATGTGCAGGGGAGTGAGAGATGGAGACCCCATCCCCAGACCGTGGCGAGAGTACCCAGCTGCCCTCAAAAGGGGTGTTGATGTTTTAGCAGCCAGCCCAGCCTTGAGACTAAAGCCGTGACTCTTGGCTGGCTGATGTGAGTGGGGGGGTGATGTTCTGCTGCTCCAGAGCTCCTGCCGTGCACCAGCCCAAGCACACGCTCCACCCTGGCCTCCCACTGGTGCCCTCCTGCCTGGCCACCCCCACCAGTGTGCCCGCTGATGGGCAGGGGTTATCCAGGCTTCTGGCCAGAAAACACCGGAGCTCTAGCTGCGGACACATGTTGGGGTGGTGGCCGGTCACCTCCCTGCTGCCCGTTGCTTGGACCTGGCTGCAGATGTCAGACCTGGTTCAGGAAGGAGCCATGGGGACAACTGGGCTGACGAAAATACCTCTGAATAAGGGACTTGACAAGCCTGAAGGTTTTACTTGCCAAGAATAAGACTGAGTGGGGACGTGACTTGATTCCCAGGTACTACAGAGCCCCATCCATGCTTCAAAACCTGCCTCCTCCTCCCGCCCCGTGCCCTGGGAGGCATTCCTCTGGGATGCTGTAGCAGGCAGACTTACAGACGTATCTGTTTCAGTCAGCCTCTTTAGTTTGGATCTTTTTTTTTTTTCTTTTTTTTTTTTTTTTTTTTGTAGCATCTACAGGGGTAATAACCTGTTAATTAACAATTAGCAGCTGGTGAACCAAGTCAGGAAAACATAAGGATGTTTAACCATGGGGAAGAGGCAGCTTTCCTGTCCCTTCCTGCCTTAGATGAAGCCTGCACTGCCCTTCTGGAAGATACACCGTGGCCAAACACGAGGCAGTTGCCCTGTAGAGAGACAGGCAGGTGAAACAAAAATTTTGGCCCACAATCAGGCTGACTGGACCAAACCCATGTATCAGCCTCAGCTTCCCTGAGACCATGACAAAGCCATGCTGTTTCAACCCCAGCATCAGTCCACGGCAGGAGTGAGGACGTGCAGTGGCTCTGCTGCGTCCCCAAACTCTCCCTGCTCCTCCGTCCCTGCAGCTGCATCTCTCCTGGCCCTGGCACCGGCTGCCAGGGCTGGTCCCTTGCAGAAAAGCAGCCACAGGACACAAATGTGATGTGTCCTGCTTGTAGCCACCTACCCTGGGGCGAGCAATCCTCTCTCCTCCAGCTTACCAGCTCGTCTGCATCCAAACCCAGAGCACTGGGCCCCTTCTCCATCATCCCCCACACGGCATGTCTCCTCCCCACCTCTTCTCCTGTGAACTGATGCAGTGCAGGAGTTCCCATGGGCGCTGCCCTCAGCATTTTAGGATAACCCCGGTTACAAACGCACCTTAGGTCCAGCTCAGGAGAATTTCTTCCCCAGGAGGGTGGTGCAGCCCCAGGACAGGTCCCCAGAACGGTGGGGGATCTCCCTCCTTGGGAGGATTTGCAGCTGAGACTGCCCCAAGCCAGCGCTGGCGGCGGTGCCGCCGGGAGCCAGCACCGGAGCTGGACACCTCGGAGGGCCCCTTCCACCGGTGTTTCTGTGATCTGCCCCTCACACATACCTTTCCTTTGAGCGCATCCCGTGCGCACCCGCACAGGCACCGTAAAGCCCCGTCACACCCCGTTAGCGAGCGCCGTTTCCTATGACAACGCCGTCAACAGCGCGCGGAGCAAGATTCGGGTCCCGGGGAGGGGGGCAGGTGCGGGGCTTCTCCGTAGCTATGGCAAAGGGGTGTTTACTTCTGTGTTTTACAGCTCAGTGTTACCCCCGGGACGGCTCTCAGTGTGTGCAACAGCGGGGTAAGGCTGTCTGGCATCTCCCCCCAGCAACTCTGTCAGCATTTAGGGGAACCACGTGCGACCTCCACCTGCCAGTCACCGCGATGGGACCCACACCGGGGACCGGCTGCAGGAGGTATCTTCCCCGGAGCTGCCACGGCTCCCAGCAAAGCCCCCAGCCCCTCGCCCACCTCCGTGCTGGTACTGGCAGGTCCTGGATGCGGTCCAGGTGCTCTCGCTCCGGCCCTCGTGGCGGGTTTTCTCACCCAGATATTTCATGATGCAGCAAACCCCCCCCTTTTCCACGCGGGCCCCCCTGCAGGAAATGTTTTCTGCCTTCCCCCATTCTTGTCAGACCATACCCAGATCTGTGCCTTCCCAGCACGGGCCAAATTGCACAGCTTTTCCCCGACACTTTGCAAACTTCGGGGAACGCTCCCAGCCCTTCCCTGCGGGCAGCTCGTGAAACGCTCGGCTCTGCCCTGGCCGAATCGCAAAGGGCTTGGATCCCATTCCCCAGCGCGAGTGCCAGGGGCGGGGAGATCTTGCCTCGCATCTATTCTTTCTAGGTACAAAACACGCTTTCAAAAGTCAGAGCCATTTCGCTGGCAAGAGATGGAGGCTGCTAGAGACGGCCAGCTGCCCCAGTTACGATTCCCAGCAAGGCCACTTTCCCAGTCCTGCTCTCTTGCATGTTTTGCAGCCACACGCGTCGAGGATGCATCACGCGGACCCCGGCCAGCCTGTCCATCCCCGCAGGCCACATTGCAGCCCTGAAGCTGTTGGAACCTCTGCAAAGCTGCTCGTCCCCGCGTCCATCTGCTCCCGCATCGCTCCTCTCGAGCAGAGAGCTCGTGTTTAATGACCGCGTGTGTTTTCGCTCAAGCATTACGTCATTCGGCAACGCTGGACGGGTGGACGGACGGGCCAGCCCGGCTGGTCTGCCCCCCCACCCCCAAATGCTCACCCCCTCCCTGCATTGTGGGGTGCTCTATGCCCCCCAGCCCTCAGCCTTTTGTAGGGATGCAAGCAAAGAGAAAATCAGTGTCCTTGCAAAGCCCACTGGGGGCCAGTGGCTCCTGCACAGTCGTCCCCCCCCCCGCTGCCTCCTTGACGTGTCCCAGTGCCGGGTGTGGAGGGCAAAACGCTCTGTAATTTCCACCTCCTGGATTTCCTGCGGCTGTAGCCATCAGCACTTTCCCTAAAATAAAGTGGGAGCTGAGATAAGCCAGACAGCCGGGCTCCGGAGGGACCATCCTGAGCATGGATTTAGCTCACACTTCTTTAAGTGGGCGTTCAGGTTTGGGACTTCGCACCTCTCGCAGGCGGAGAGGAACTGGGTGGATTTGCTGATAATTTGCTTCCAATTTCCGCAGCCAGTGGAGGAAACCTGGGGAATGGGGGGGCCCACTCACAGGGAGCCCCGCGGGAAGGGGGCGCAGACAAGGCATTTCCGTGCACGTGCTGTCACTCCCTGGGCAGAGGATCGGGGCTCACAGGCGGTTGGGTACAGGGATGAGCAGCGTTTTGGCTCCTGGCAAAGTGGGGAGGCCCCGGTGTCGGTCCCACAGCGATGGCACGCAGTGCTTGAGCTGGTGCTGCGGGTTGTGGGGAGAGGGGTGTTTTGCGCTCCTTGCTCTTCATCCCCCCCCCTATTTAAATCCGTGCCCGCCCCAGCTGCTCCCCAACACTTGTCCAGAGGCACCCCAGGAGAAGGGGGACGAGGTGGTCGGCAGGGACAGGGCAGTGGCTGGTTTTGCACCCGCATCTGGTTTTGCGCTCAGAGGTGATGGGGAGGTCGGAGCCCGGGTGGCCCCGAATGAGCTGGGGCTGGAAAGTGGGGAGCAGCCCAGCCCAGCTGCAGAAACACCCCCCCCCCCCCACTCCCCTTCCCCCCGGCACCGGGCTCTGGAGGTGGCTGGGGGGGACGCGGGGGCCATCACTAGTCACGGCCAGCCCGGGCTGGGCGCTGCGTGTCCCCAGGACACCCCGGGGCCGGGGAGGGGGGTTCCGTTCCCAGGTCCAGACAGTAAATTTTTCTGCAAACTGCCCGGTTTTACCCTCCCGCCGGCGGCCGGACACCCCGCGCTCGCCATCTAACGGCCACGGCCGGGGCTGCCCCGGGGCCCCTCACCCCCCCGCACCCGGGAGCGGCTCCTCGCCTGACACCCCGCTTGCACCCCCGGACACCCCCCTCGCTTTACCTCGACGGCCCCCACCTGCCCTCCCATCCCCCTTCTGCGCTGCGCCACCCGGGAATGCGCGACCCCCCCCCCCCCCCCCCCCGCCGATGCCACCCGGGGCATCACCCCCCCCCCCCCCCCCGGTGCCACCCGGGGACGCGGTGGCCCATCGCGGTGAGCGCAGCCCTCCCTTGTTCTCCCCCCGCAGGCTGCTTTGGCAGGTCCCCCCGCCCTTCCAGTTTTTTTGGCAGAGAGGCGCACTCGGATTGGAGAGAGCAGCGAGGGAGACGAATTAAAAAAAAAAAAAAAAAAAAAAAAAAAAAAAGTGGAAAAGAGTAAAAAAAAAAAAAAACCAAAAAACACAAAAAACCCGAACAAGCCAGCCCAATCGGCTGGAGAGGCTTGTGTGTGTTTGCCCTTTCCTCATGACGTAGTGTCCTGTGTCTCTCTCCCCCCTTCTCCCTCTCCTTTTCCCCTCCCTCCTTCCAACCCCCCCTCCCCTTCCCCTCGCATCCTTGGAAGCAACAATTAAGCAGCTCTGGGATAAAACACACTGCCTGCGGGAGCACGGGGGCATTGCTTCAAGAGATGGCAAAGCAGGCAGCTGCACCCCTCCTTCCCGGAGTCCTCCTCCTCTTCTCCATCCTCCCGGCTTCTCAGCAAGGAGGTAAGGAAAGAAAAGGCTCCTTCTCCTTAGCCCCGGCCAGCGCTTTTCCTCGGCTCTGCAGGGTCCCTCCACGAGCACCAGGGCTCGGCTGGTGCCCCCCCTCAGCCCCCCCCCGGCAGCCCCACGCCTGTCCCGGCTGCGTGTCCCCGAGCAGGGACAGGCAGCCCCCCTGTCCTGCCCTGGGGACATCCCCAAAGGAAGGAGGGCAGCCCCCCCAGGTGCCACCTCCCCAGAAGGGTCTTTGCCCCCCAACCCGGTGGGTAGCGCGTGCCATGCCCGGGTGGGGTGTGGGATGGGATGTCACCGAGGGTGGTGGCACAGGGTGGTCCGGGAATGGCACCGCTGCGCGAAGCACTTGTCAGGGGGGAGGCTGCGAGGTGCTGCATCCTGGCGAGGGGCTCGGGGACACGAGGGGCTCGGGGACACGACAGGCTTGGGGACATGAGAAGCTTGGGGACACAAAAGACTCGGGGACACGCAAGCAGGGTGCAGGGCAAGGCAGCCGGGGGTGGCCACCAAGTTCTTATGGGGCTTACAAGTGCGGGGGGGGCCGAAGGAGCTGGCACCCATCACCCTCCCGGTGGGACGGTGGTGTGAGCTGGAGGGGCAGTGGGGGGGCGATGGGGGGTGCGCATCCCGCAGCCCATGTGTGCGAGCTGCTGTGCAGTGTGCGGCCGCGGCACAGCCCGCCGGGCCCCTGCAGCTGCAGAGCAGCTCGACCCGCCCGAATCGCAGGCTCTGGGTGCCTGGGGTGGCCCCCGCACCCTCCTCCTCCTCGTGGTTGTTGTCACCCGCGTCGGGTCCACCCACCGGCGTGTGGCACGGGTCCTGGCTCGCTGGCTGGTCCCTGGCCCTGACACCCCCAGCACGTGTTGCGGACCCGCTGCCGGGGCGGGGAGGCGAAGGCAGCACGGCGTGTGTCCCCTGGCACCGCGTGACGAAGCCCGAGCTTCCAGCACCGCAGGTGCCTGCCCTCGTGTCAGGCCACGAGCACGCACAGAGGTGGGGAGAGCGGCCCTCAGCGCAGAGCTACAGCCCTGCTGTGATGGCCAAACTGGGCAGAGGTCTGCGAGGAGGGGACGGCAGGGTCAGGGATGGGACAAGCCACCTCCGGAGAGCCGGGCGGTGGGTCGCCCCGTGTCGTGCCATGGGCAGAGCCACCATCAGCGATGGGGTCGGTGCCAGAGCTGTCGCACGAGGCTTCTCAGCCAGAGATAGGGAGGAGCAGCGGAGGGGAGAGGGCAGGATCCCATGGGCAGGGGAGGGCAGTGCCAGGGCTGCATGTGGCACCAGGCAGCTGCAGGCTGGGCCACCGCTTGCCCAGGGCAGAGCCCTCGGGGATCTGCAACCAGCAGCTCCATCCGCCCCTGCCCTGCAGCTCCCTGCTCTGCCCTGGGGGCGGGGGGTGGGCTCCTGGCACCCTGACCGTGGGTTGATCTGCCCCGGCTGTGCAGGCAGCGTGACCCCAGAGCGGTGCCAAGCCAGGCGGCTGCCTGCAAAGCTGAGCCGCCGTCACAGCCTGATCCTGAGCTACAGCTCAGGTCAAGGTGTTTGACGGGATGCAGCTCAGCCCTGGGCAATCTCCATCTCTGACAGTGATGCTTCGCGCTGGCTTGCTGAACCATGGTGGCTTTGCTCCCCAGTTCTCAAGCAGTGGGACAGTCTCAGGAGGGCTTTGGCCTCCGGGTGAGACCCTGCAGCAGCTTCGGAGCAATTTAGGGCTGTTGGCCCCATTCCAGTCCCTGACTCAATCTCCAGGAGTGTTTGCTGGTTTGGGAAGCAGCTCACAGAGGAGGTGGCCCTGGCCCTGGAGATGGTCCCAGTGCTGATGAGGGCACTGGAGAACACTTTCCCATGGAGGAGTGACCAGTATCTCTGCAGCCTGGTGTTGCTGTGTGGCACCAGGCAGGCTCAGCCATGCTCAGGGTCTGAGCTGGGACAGGAGCAGCTGTGGGGGGGATACCAGGGTGCTGCAGGGTTCACCAAACCTGAAGAGGGCTCAGGGGAGCATCCTCCAGCACCCTCTGCCAGTGCAGCTCCAAACCAGCCTGGCAGGAAAGGGACCCTTAAGAGATCCCAGAGTTGAGAGGGAAAAGGGGAGGGGAGCCTGCACACAGACTGTTGGCCCCCAGAGCAGTGCCAAAGGGCTGAGCCCTGGGTTTGCAGCAGCTGGCAGTACTGGGAAAGCTCCCAGCAGCAGGTCAGGATCAGCCCCTGCTGCTCTGCATCCCCCCCCAGGGAAAGCAGAGCTGTACTGGGCACCGTGGGGACATGCACAGCCGGATCCGTGAGGAAGCTGCTGTGTTTCCCTAAAAGGTGCCAAGTGCAGCATGTCCCAGTGTTTGGAGCGGGGCATCTGTCCCTCAGTGCTTTCATCCATCCATCCATCCATCCATCCATCCATCCATCCATCCATCCATCCATCCATCCATCCATCCATCCATCCATCCATCCATCCATCCATCCATCCATCCATCCCTCCCTCCCGTGCCGGAGTACAGGGAATCCCCTGGGAGCAACACCCCTTGGGAGGGGACAAGAGGGACCCTGGAGGGGTCCCAGGTCTGTAGGCTCTGGGACCACAGGGGTGGCTGAGGTTGTTGCAGAGACGATTGGCACTGGGTGTGCTGGCATCCCAGCCTGGGTGCTGTGGAGACCCTCTGAGGACACCCAGAGTCCCCAGGGTGCCCCAGGGCCGGTAGTGCCAGTTGTGGGGCTGGGATGGCATCTCCCCTTCCCAGCTGGGCACCTCCCCAAGGCACCGGCCTGCTGGGGCTGCTCCCTCTGCAAACAACTTGCAGGGTGCAGCTCGTCTGCCAGCGCTCAAAGATGAAAGCTAAAGCCTCGGGGGGGGGGGGCTGGAGAGGAGCCAAGAGCAGCCCCCCCCCCCTTCTCCCCCTCCCCCCCCGCCCCCAGCTGCTACCAGAGATCTTGGGCTGGGATGCAACGCAGCTTCAACGTTGCTGGGAGACTGCATGTTTCCAAAACCAATTCTCCCAAGAAAAAGAAAACAGCAGCATGAGGGAAGAGGGGAAGTATCTGTGGCAGTTATGTGCTGATTCTCCTCCCCGAGCAGTTGCCCATGGGTGCATGTGAGGTACGAGGTACGAGGTTTGGCAGTCCAATGAGGATGTGAGTTTGTGTCCTGCGGTGGATTGTCCAGCCTGATCTCGGTCTTGAATGCTGTCAAATAGAGAAAACATCTGTATTTCTGGCTTGTAAAGAAAGCTGCAACCAGTGGTGCAGACAGAAATGGTGCAGGTGGTACAAACAGTGGCCAGTCTGAAACAGCACAGGTAGTGGAATAGTGTGGACATTGCAAAGAGTGGTTTGTGGTACAGGGCTATGTAAGAAAAAGTCCAGTTTCTATAAACAAGGCTCCCCACCAGATCCTTAGCACCTCCAGGGGTCAAACCCTACCACAGCTGGGGCTGCACATGTGGGTGCAAATTCTTCTGCCCCTGGCTTGAGAAGACATCCCAGGGGTGGGTGCTGGGGTGTTGGGGGCCAGATCCATGCTCTGCAGGCTTAAAGCCAGCCCTGGCTCAGGAGACAACTGAGAGAGAGCAGAAATCCCCTTTCCCAGAGTCCTGGCAGGCTCAGGCCAGGGGCAGAGGCAGCACAGAGCTCCTTCAGTGCTGGGAGGCTGGCGACTCAGTTTCCCCTTCCGCGATGTGGCAAGGGAAAGTGGGATGGTGTGGCCAGAGCGATGTGCTATGCCGAGGAGCAGACCCGGAGCTGGGCTATGGGCTCCTGCCCCCGGGGCTGGGGAAGGACAGGGCTGGGGAATGACAGACACCGGCCGGAGAGCGACTGCCATAGCCCAGTGCGGCCTCGGGGAGCCCAGGGTGTAGCCGGTGCCAAGCGCATGGGCTGCTGTCAACACCTGAGCCGTGGTGGTGCTGCCAGTGGATGGGACTGGTGATGCTGTGGTGAGTTTGGCTGTTCAAGGCTGGTCCTCGGCCAGAGAGCCGAGCGGGTCAGAGACCCCTGTGCTCCCTGGCAGTGCCTGCAGTGGGGAGCAGACCCTGAGCTGGGCTCTGGGCACTGCCTCCCTACCGGGAAGAGCCCGGCTCTGCCAGAGCCAAGGCAGCTTGTAAAATACCTTCAATAGAAGCGCAGAGCTGGCTGTGTTTGGCAGGAGAGCTGATCAGGGAGAGCAGCAAGGGGGGAGCAGCCTCCTGCGATGATCCTGAGTGAAAGCCTCAGCTCCCCTGAGCTGGATGACAGCCCCAACCTGGTAATCCTGCTGCCCTCCGGCAACCCAGGCTCCTGCCAGGACTTGCTGACCCCCTTCTCCTCTGGACTTGGGCATGGAGATGGTTGATGAACTGGCACATCCCTTGTAATCCTCCGAAAAGCACAGACCTGCGAGGAAGCACAGTGCCTTGGCCCTGGGATGGTGGCTGAGGGATGCCTGGGGAGGGGGCAGCGAGAGTGGCACCTCAGTGGCACCCCCTCTGCCAGTGTCCACAGTGCCCAGGAGGGTGACAATGATGAAAGGCTAGGTATGGCAGCCGTGGCTGCAGGCAGGTGTCACCTGGACCTTCCTAGGATCACCCCAGCACCAGAGACCTTTCCTGGCTGTGGGGGGCTGAGACTGGGGGGCACCATGGGAGCTGAGCACAGAAGGGACCCTCCTAGTTTGTGGGGGACAGTCGGTGGCACCAGATATGGGGGTCCCAGCCAGATCCTGGCCATCCCACTGGCTCTGGCTCCCAGTGGGGTGGGGCGTCCCGTCCCAGCAGGGCGGATGGGATGGGGGAGGACAGGCGATGTGTGGATGCTCAGAGTTTGTTTGGAAACAGGCAAGAAGTTAGGATTTGTTTTTCCAAGCTGGGGGGGTGGGCGGGGGAATGTGCCGGGAAAAGGAGCCGCTCTGTAAACCCCTGGCCGGCAGCTGGGCCGGCTGTGCCGTGCCAGAGGGGTGAGCCGGCCGGCCGGAGCGACGACCGAGCGCGTGTCCCCTCCACTCCAAGGGACATCAGCTGCTCCAGGGCCGGATACAGCACCTGAGCCTGGCAGGGCCCTGGGAGGTGGTTTTGGGGGGGCACAGGGCTGAGCCCCACTCTTTGGCATTGCTGGGGCACGTGGGGGCTGTGTGACAGGTCCTGGCACGGGTCCTCCGCCTGCGTGTGCATCCTGATGGGTTTGTGGGTGCGTGTGTCCCGACATCTCCTGTGCATGCATGGCCTGACACCCCTCTTACATGCGTGTGTGTGTCCTGACACGCGTGGGGGTGCATCCCAGTGCCCGGTCTCTGTGCAGCTGGGCTGGGGGCCCATCCCATGTGCCCTAGGTGGTGGGGGACACATGTGAGCAGAGCCCAGGGGACACTCTCGTCTCTGCCATGACGCAGCAGGCAGCTGCTGGGGTGAAGCCTGGGGCTACAGGGCACAGTGAGGGGGAACCCCCCGGAGTTTGCCCTACATTTGAGATGGGGCAGAAATGTGCAGCAACAATGTGCCCCCCCACTGTGGCATGCCAGCTCTGCCTCCTGCCTGGCACCTACCTGTGCTGGCCACCCTGCCCAGCCCCTGGGCACCACGCAGCCAGGGGTGGGGTTGCCAGGGCTCCTGAGGGTGCTGGGGTGGCCACTGCAGCCTCAGAGCAGGTCAGCAGGTCCTCACGTCCCAGCTGTGGCACCACAGGGTCCCCAGTGCCCGTCCACCCCGAGCCCCATCCCCTCTGCCCAGATTAGGCAGGAGAGCTGGATGCAGCTTGCCACAGGGGTGCTGGCCACAGCAACTCTACGCTTGCCTCCAGCAACTCCCAGATCCTCCTGCCAGCCTCACTGCAAGCCCTGCCAGCCATCCTGCAAATCCCATTGCAAACCCCATGGCAATGCACCCCCCGCCCCCCCCCGGCTCCAGTGCCAAAAACACGCTCCAGCCAAAAGTGGAGGCTCTCTCTGCATTACAACCTCCCTGTGCCATCAACCCACCTGCAAGCCTGCGCCTCACCCCTGGCCCTGATGGAGCAGGGGGGACCACCCAGGGGATGGCTGCCTGGTGGTCTGCAGGAGAAAGACCTTTGCCAGGGTCCAAACCAGCCAAAAACCAATGCTGTGGTATCTGAGAATGATCTCTGAGCATGAGCTCCAGGTGCCCTAGAAAGCAGTGGGACCTGGGAGCTTATCTCAGCTTTGCAGATGGGAAGAGGGATGCAGGGGGGTTTGATGGGTCTCAGCACTGTCCCTTCAGTCCAACACCTCAGTCCTGGTGGCCTGAGCCTGGTTTTCCCACTGGCAGCTCAGCAGGCAGGGCAAGGCAGGGCAGGCAGCGTGGGCATGGGGCAGCCATGGCCGAGAACGCTCAGGTTTAGCTGGGACCAGCGTGGGCTGTGGGGCTGAACTGGGACATCCTCACCCCCCCATGCATGACCATACCTGTACCAGTCCCCTCAGAGCCATGTGAAGCTGGAGGTGATGGACATGGCACTGGCTGTGGTATGGGACAGGTTTTGGGAAGCAGAGCTGGACACCAGCCAGCCCTGCTCCGTACAAGCCCCATGTAGCTCCCTCTCATGCAGAACCAAGTCCTTCTGACACCTCCCACAGCATGCCCTCCCCAGCTCCTGCCTGGGGCACCTCCAAGCCCTGTCACCACTGTCACACTGGGGAAACTGAAGTGTGCAAGGAAAGGCAGGGACCTGCCCTTGAGCCCTTGCCCTGGGACTCTGCATCCCACCCTCTCTGCAGGGAGCAGCTCCCCATCCCAGGAGATGCCCCCAATCCTGACCCACCAGATATAATTGGATCCCTGGGAGGATCTTAATGAGGGTCTCTTCTCTTTCAGGGGTCCCTGGTGCTATCCCAGGGGGGGGAGTCCCAGGAGGAGGATTCTTCCCAGGTAAGGGAGTCCAAGCAGTGTTCCAGGGGACATCACCCTATTTGCAGGGATGGGGCAGGTGCCTGGGGGCTCCCCAGTTGCCTCTGAGCCATCACAGAGGGCTGGGGACCTGCCAGCTGGGATCAGGGGACATGGGAACACCCTGTCTGGCTGCTCATCCCTGGGTGGCTGTGCCAGTGCCAGCCCCACAGCGTGGGGACAGGACTGGGTGGCAGTGCTAGACTCACGCTGGGGATCAGTAGCCCAGGGCCGGCACCTACACCCTGCCCAGCCCTGGCTGCAGCGGGTGCCCAAATGTCACAAACTGTCCCCAGTGTTTCAGCCAAAAGCTTGGGGACATCCCAGGGGCGGATGCCCCATCTCCTCGCACCTTTATGATCGTCTCTGCCTCCCCACGGACCCCGGGGAACCTGGCATGAGTAGGTGGGTGGTGGGTGCTCACGGGGATGGGTGCTAAGATGGTGCCATTGTTTGCAGGTGCTGGGGTTGGAGGTTTGGGAGCAGGTGAGTGCTGGGGCCCCTTTTCCCAGGGATGGGGAGATGGGCAGCACCCTTGGCAGAGCTGCCCTGTGGCAGGCAGAGGGTCCACCATGGGGCTGGCCCTGTCCCACCCAGTGTCCCCCCGTCGGGGGATGCTCGGAGAAAGGATGGCTCTGACCCCTCTCCACTCACTCTCCCCTAGGACTCGGGGCTGGAGGTAAACCTCTTAAACCAGGTAAGAAGCCTTTCCTTGGCTCTCTCACCACCTCCAGCCATGCCAGTGGCCAGGATATTTCCCGCCCCTGTTTCCCTCATGTTTCTCCCACACGGCCAAGGGGAACCCCCCCACTCTGGGGGCCCCCATGGCCAAGGCACGCAGCAGCCGGCACTTTCCACCCTGCCCTGCCACACTAACTGCCACCAAGCCCCCATAGCCTCAAGGGAGCCTTCCTGCCCTGTCCCTCGCTTTGGCACACTGCCCATACCCCTCCAGCCCCCACAGACCGCCCTTTTGGGGTGCTTGCTGCCTGCAAACCTCTGCCAAAGCTCCTTGGGAAGATGCAAAGCTGGGTAACGCTCGCTTAGCCCTGCCGGGAGCCAGTGTCTGTGGGAAGCTGGCAGCACCTCTGCCTGCCTGCGTTTGTGGCCGAGCAGCTTTTGCTGAGGCTCCTGCAGCCCTTTCCGGGGTTTGTCTGGCCTAGAAATGAGGGGACGAGAGGGGACAGCATCGGGAGAGAGATAAAATGCTGGCAGGAGGGTGCACAGCCCGAGGGCACCGAGCCTGGGGCATGGTGGGGCACGGCTGGGAGGTGCTGGGGCAGCAGGGACCTAATGTGCAGGGGGAAAATCTGGTGCCAACAGAGATGGCTGGTGCCCATCAAGGCCCAGAGAAAGATGCTCCTTTAGGCAGCGACCTGGGTCTCCCCTCCCTGCCTGCCCCAGGGGTACCCGCTGTGCCCTGGGGCAGGGGCACGGGGCACACTGCACCCCCCTGGTCCCCCCCCCCCCCCCGATCCAGCCCGTCTGCACGGCGGGAGCGCCAGCCCGAGGCGGGGGCCGGCAACCTCCGTTTACTCAGATTTCAGCTCGTGGAAAGAAAAACAAGGCCCTTTATTTCGGTGTAATTAAAACCAAACGCGGCGCGGCCGCGAAGCCCCAGCCGGAGCGTTGTCCGCGCCCTGAGCCAAAGGCAGTGGAATTTGCGCCTGGAGAGAGCGAGGGCTGATTAGCCCCAGATGTTGGAAGGCAGCGCTGGCCGGAGCCGGAGGGACTCATTCCTCAGCCATAAACATTTCGGCTCTGTCCCCTCGTGGCCCGGTGGGGTGGGGGGTGGGCGAGGCAGAAAGGGATGGGATGGGGTATCCGGATGCTGGCGGGCACATTTGTCACCTGTCCCTGTGCCCATCCCCGGGGCATGCTCCTGGCCCATGGGGATGGTGCCATCAGGACGTTCCTGTTCCTCTGACCCTGGCCGTCCCCCCCCCACCTCACCCCACTTCTCTTTCCAGGGGTCGGAGGCCTCGGGGGACTCGGCCCACTTGGTCTGCAGCCAGGTGAGCACAGACCACTGGCCACCCCTGCTCCGGACTGTCCCCAGAGAGCCACCTTGGGGACAGCATGTGGCTTGTCCCCATCGGGTGCTCTCCATAGCCTGCCTGGTGGGTCCCATCTGGGCTGGGCACCCTTGCCAAACCTGAGGGACCAGCAGCCACCAACAGGCAGCCCTAGGGTCCCCCAACATCATGGCATCAAGCAGTGCTGGGTGACCCCAAGCAGCGATAGGTGAGGAGGGACCTGGGGTCCCCGCGGGGTCCGCAGCAGAGGGACACTGCCTGAACGTGGCCACCGGGGACCCTGGTGTGTGAAGGAGCCGGTGACACCTCAGGGTGCCCCAGGTGGTGTTGACATAGCTGGTGATGGGTGGGATGTGGATGGGAGCAGGGATTTTGGGGGGGGGATGCAGGGAGGGCAGTGCCCGCTAACCACCACTTTGCCCAGCCTAACGCCAGCCCCCAGCACTGCTGCGCAGCCCCTCACGGCTCCCCACCCCCTGTGCCCACCGTGGCTGGCGGGGAGGGCAGGACACCTTGCTGGCCGCTTTTCGGGGATGCTCATGTGGGTTATTCTCCTCCTCGCAGGTGCTGCGGGTCTTTTCCCCGGAGGTGCCTACCCCGGGGGTGTCTTCCCAGGGGCCGCCTCTGCCGCTGCGCTCAAGGCTGCTGCGAAAGCTGGTGAGTGCTGGGGGTGTCTGGTGCGACGCTGGGCCAGGCAACAATGCCAGGCAAGGCAACACTGGGGCTTGGGCAGCCCCCTGGGACTCCCCAGTGTCCCCTGGAAGCCTGAGATAGGAGAGCTTTCCCCATGGAGCTGGGGGACTGCAAGCAGGGGATGAAGATGTCGTGGGGATCCCTGCCAGTTTGGAGGGACCCTGGCATGTCTTGGTGTGCCGGGAAAGGGGCATTGGCCAAACCCGAACCCCCAGGAGCGGAGAGCACTGGGCTGCCTGGTCCCTGTGCCCAGGTCTGGGGGACCCATCCCTGGTACAGCCTCAGGGTGTCCCCTTCACCCCCTTCAAGAGCAGTCCTAGGCTTGTCCCTTCCTTTGGCACCGCTCCGGCCACCCATAGCCCAGCAGTGGCATCTCACACTGGTACTCCTCTTCCCAATGCCCCCAGGTGCTGGCATTGGTGGCGTGGGTGGAATTGGTGGTCCTGGTGGCCTCGGGGTCTCCGCAGGTAGGAAATACCCCTCGTCCCCAGCATAGCCAAGCCGGGGGCAGACTGGTCCCCATGCCTGCCAGGGTGGGCAGGAGCCGCTGCCGGGGCTCAGGGGGTCTCTGCTGCCCGCAGGTGCAGTGGTACCGGGCGGGGTGCAGCCCGGGGTTGGCGCGGCAGGGAAACCCCCCAAAGTACCAGGTAGGTGCACGGCCCCGAAGCTGGGGGCCGGGGCGGGGAAGGGCTCCATTCGGGTGCTCATCCCGGCCTTTCTCTTGCCTGGCAGGCGCTGGAATTCCTGGAGCTTTCCCGGGTGGCGTGCTCCCCGGCGCAGGTGAGCTGCGGGTCCCCACCCCACCAGCAGCATCCCAACCTCTGAGAGGGTCCCCACCCGGTGTCAGCACCCCGGTTTGAGTCGATAGCCTTGTGGCCAGCTGCACCCTGGGCATTATAACCCCTCCGCTGCCTGCCATGCCGGGCAGCAGGCTGCGTATGGCCCCGTGCTGCCCGCCTGCCCAACTCCCTGCCTGCCCCATCACTGCTGCCTGCAGTTTCCAAACCCTTTCGTTGGGGCCGTGGTGACATTTCCACCATGCCAAAGGCGGGGGGACCCAGCGTCTCCGGGGGTCTGGTGCCAAGCTCCGCGGGAGCAGGCGGCATCAGCACCGGGAGAGGAGCTGGCACGGAGCACACCAGGGCCGGCTGGCCCAGCCAAGGGCGGCGTGGGAAGGAGGGGGAGGAGGTGGCAGCGGGGAGAGGAATTCCTCACTGCAAAGTAATTTGGGGGAGGAAAACTTGTGAAAACAAGATGTTTCGACATTGTCAGAAGGAGAAGTGTGTTGCTGGTCAGGAATGTCTTTTCCATGTCTGAAAAACGAGTGAGTTATAATGAAAGACATTTGTAAAAGGGGAAAAAAAAAAAAAAAAAAAAGACAAACCAAAAAAAAAACCCAAACCCAAACCAGAAACCCAACCCATATGACTGCAAGGCCAAAGGGCTTCCTGTTGCCCCTGGAGGATCGGGACTCAGTTGCAGGACCCCACTTTCTGCTCCCCAAAGAGCCCCAGCTTGCACAGAGCCATTGCACATCACCGGGGCACAAAACAATGCCCAGGCTTGGTTATACCATGGCCACTCATGGGTGCCACGTACCCTGCAGGCACCCCAAGCTCCTGCATGGGCAGCCTGGCCCATCCTCCCCCCACAAAAAAAAAAAAGCAGAGGCAGCCCCAGGGCTGGAGCAAACCCTTCCCTGGCAGCTCTGCCCAGGGGGTGCGGGGAGCCTGGCACAGGGGGGCCCAGGAGGCCCCTGGGGACTGAGGGTACCCTGTCCCAGGGTACAAGGCTTAGTCCTGAGCCAGAGATGGGTGACAAGGATTTGGGAGCTGGCTGAAAGGGTCTCGAGTGCCAGCAACATTACAATACCCCACCTTGCTCACCCATCCCCTCTGGTCTCTGCCTCAGGCGTCCGCTTCCCTGGCGTAGGGGTGCTGCCCGGAGTACCCACTGGTGCTGGAGTCAAGCCGAAAGGTCCAGGTAGGTCCCCTCAATCCCCTGGGGACACCGGGGTGGAAGGCGGGTCCAGGACTAGCTCCAGCTCTGCCCTCATCCCCATCCTACTGGGACTGGCTCCAGCCCATCCTTTGGGGTCACAGCCCCACAGGGCATGTGGGCAAGTGAAGCCGACCTCCGGCTGAGCCCACGCAGCCCGTGCAGACCAGTTTGGACGCCGAGGACCAGTCCTGAGGCTCACGCGGGTGCCTTTGTGTTTCTGCCTAGGAGCAGGAGGCTTCGCAGGAATCCCCGGTGAGTGTCCCATCTCTCTCGCCCGTCCTTCTCTTCCTTCCCAAGCCTGTTCATCACAGCGATGGCCTCCCCATGCCAGAAGATGTCTCAGGGCTTTCCAAACCACCCGCTCTCCTCTTCCGGGGTGCCCTGGGGTGCTCCTCTCTCTCAAGGACTGGTGACAGCCTAGGCGCGGGCTCCAGGTGAGAGTCTGCTGTTGGCTTTGCAGGACTGGGAGGTTTTGGAGGTCAGCAGCCCGGAGTCCCTCTGGGGTATCCCATCAAAGCTCCTAAGCTCCCAGGTAAGCTGTCACAGCCAACAGGGCTGGGGGTGAAGGACCCCCAGCAGTGCCAGGAGAAGGACCCGCCGTTCTCCAGGGTTGAGACATGGTGCCCCCAGGTCCCCTGGACCTGGCAGTGCCAGTGCTGGCCCTGGGACATCAGGTCAGAGCAAGGGGCACTGGGCAGATGAGTCCAGCAGCAGCCCTGCCTGTCACAGCCCCGTGGGCAGCTGCCTGGATGTGGCTGCTGGTCTTGTCTCTAGCCCGCGAGGATGATGCTGTGAGTCTCTCCGGCTGTTGCAAGGTAGAAAAGAGCATGTTCTGGGGACATGCTTTGGGCCAGGCCACCCCAGGCTGTCCCTGCCAGCTCCTCCTGGCATGAGGCACAGCCCTTGTAGGGACTGTCTGCTTTCCATGGCTCCTAGGGTTGTGCCAGGCATCGCTGGGCATTCACCTGGGCCAAATGTCCCCGCTCATGGAGCTCTAGCCAAGGCCAACAACAGCAGGCAGGAGGTGGGGATGGAGCTTCAGGCAGGTCTCCCTCCCCATTGCCTGCCCAGACAAGGCTCGGCTCCAGCCCAGGGAAGCCTGGGGGTGCTCAGCACCCCTTTCCCAGGCTGGGCTGCTCCAGGGACCTCTGTCTCCCAGCCCTGTGCTGAAGTGCCAGCTCTGCCTGTCCCCAGCCAGCCATGCCCACGCAGGGACAGTGGCAGGATGGGCAGTGCCACACAACCAGTACCAGGTGCTGTGCCCTCCAAGAGCCATGCTGCCAGCTTACTGGTCCCAAGAGCATCCCAGAGAAGGCGGGCAGCCAGATCTGGGCAGGGACCCGCATCCCCGGGGTGCTGGGGAGTGAGCAGATCCACAGGCGTTTCCCCACTCACCGAAACAAGTTGCTGCAAGCAGGAAAGTCTTGGTGGGGGCAGCCCACCCCCAGGGAGCAAGTCCCACCCCGGCACGGGCGCCAGCCCCAGAAGCTCTGCCGGCTTCCCCCCGCCGGGGCCCGTCACCACAAACGGCGGCAGAAATACTTGGCCCGCTCCGGCTTCCTCCCGCCGAGGCAGAGTTACGCTCATTAGGGCGACTTGGCCCCGCTGCCATCGGATACCGTCTGGCCTCCCGGCCGCAGTCAGCCCCAGACTGCCTTTCATGGGGTGCCCGGTGAGGAGAGAAAACCGCCGGCGCACGGTGCGGCCGTGCCTGGCTCCGTCCCACAGCGGCCCTGCCAGTGGCCCGCAGCCCGGACGGGACACAGCTCCCAGCTGACCCGCTTTAGGGGGGGCCTTCGTTAAATAAATCAGGGGAGGACACTCATCCCTTTGGCCAGGAAGTCCCGTCAGTGCATCACGCCCCTCGCAGGGACCGGCAGGACAGTGGTGGTGTCCCCAGGTGTGGTTTCAGCTGACGGGTGCTGCCTGGCACCCCGGTCCTTCCTGGGATGCTGGGGGATGCCAGTTTGTCACCTCTGAGGGTTTGGTGCTGGCAGTGTGGGGGATCATTGGGTTGGCTGTCGAGGATCACACTTTGATGCTGCAGATGGACCCGGGGCTGCCACATGTCCCCGTGTCCCCTGCGCTGTCCCAGCTGCAGTAGGTCTGGGTTGAGAGGGAACAAGGGGACAGGAGGGAAAAGAACATTTTCAGTGGAAAGTTTCCTTTTTGGATGGTTTGCTCCAAATGCCCGAGACAGCTCCTGCTCTGTGCTGTCCCTGCTCAGGAGGTGGCCCCGGGGTTACCCCGTTTGCTGGAGGCTCAGCCTGAAGCTGTGGCTGAAATCAGGATCCCTCCCGATGCTGCAGGGATGGGGACTGCTCCCCAGTGCTCAGCTGCGCTGGGATGGCATTGGTCGGTGCAAAGCCCTTGCCATGCCAGCCAGTGTGCCCACCAGCCCTGAGCCACCCCAGAAGTGCTGGTGGCATCCCCGTGCCAGTGCAGGATGAGTGCGCACAGCCCCGGGGCGGGGACAGCTCTCGCATCTGTCTGGGGGTAGTGGAGAGCTGGTCTTGGACCCAGCAAAACCCTTGGAGGCCCAAGGGCTCGGACACTTGACCCTTGGAGTCACCTCCATGTGTGTCAACCAGTGCTGAACCCTTCCACAACTTTGGGGTGAGTTAGGCGCTGATGAGGTGCCCTGGGATGGGCAAGAGGGGGGTCCCCAAGGTGGGGGACACCCAGCACAGCTCACGGCCACTGCAGCCTGGAAAGCCTCTGCCTTCCAGCAACGCTGGCTGGTGTGGGACATAATAGGACATCCTGACAGGGTGGAGGGAAATCTGGTCCCCACATGCTGTCTGGCAGGAGGGGACGGTGTCCCGTGCTCGAGGAGATGCTCTGCCATGAGCAATCCCATCCTGGCTGCAGGCAGCCACATCCCCGCCCTGACCACAACCCGCTCCGGTGGGAGGGCTTGGGGTGTGGGAAACCCTCCACCCTACGTGCCACTCGAGGTGTCCCCATCGGGGATGTGGCAGCCCATCATCCCTCCTCAAGCCACTGCCAGCAGTGATGGGAGCTTGGAGCTGCTGGCTTCCAAGTGCATGGTCCCTGCCGAGTCACGGGCATCCCTGCGCTGTCCCGAGCAGTAGGATCCTGCTCTTTCGCAAGGAGACAGTTCCCTGGCTGCAATGTTCCCACTCGTAATCCCTCCCCATCCCTTTGTGCCGACCTCCTAATGAGGTCATGTTTCAGCAGAGGCTCCCAAGCCCTGATTCCAATTAAAACCTTTCATTTGGAGCTGGCTGTGGTGCAGCCAGCTGGGTACAGCTCTCGCTGCGGGGCTCCCTAGGGACCCCCCACTGAAGTGGGGTCACGGGAGGCTCCTACAAAACCAGGTTCAGGTGTCATGGCCCTCGGTGTGGGGCTGAGAGCAGGTGGCTCTTTTTGGAGCCGCTGCTTCCGAGGTGATAGTGAAGAGCATCTCCTGGCCTGGCTCCATCGCGGGGGGGGTTGTATCCCGGAGGATTTGTTATCCCGATGGAAGGAGCCCCGAGGGCTGGTGCCACACAGCCAGCTGGCAGAGAGGGGCTACACCGCGGGGCAGAGGGGGCACGGCCACCGGCAGCCAGGTGCTAACCCGCCACCTTCTCTCCTCTCCAGGTGGCTATGGATTGCCCTACAGCACTGGTAAGCTGCCCCACGGTGAGTGCTCGTAGCCCTTGCTCCGCGGTCGTAGCTCCTCACGGCTCTGCCGGCCGCTGCCGTGGCCTCAGGGCCACCAACCCTCGGGGCAGTGTGAGGGGCATCCCGCTCCCAGGGCGAGGTGGTCCCTCAGGGGACTCGTGCCTTGCCCTGCCGTGATGCCCGTGGACCCGGCTGGGAGCAACACGGCTCTCCTGGCATCCCGTGCCGGGGACGGGAGCTGTTAATCCGCGGGCACGCCGTGGCACCGGCGGCAGTCGGCTGGCTGTTGTTCTGCTGGGACACATCCTGAGCCGCGGCCAGCTCCAGGCAGGGGTGTTTGATCTGGCATCTCGACTGAGGGGGACCCTGGCTCCGGTATCCCCCCCGACATCCCTCGGCACCAGCGGGGGGGGATCCTTTGGGCCGAGCGAACTGCTCCATCTACCTCATCCCCCAGCCTAGGGCAGGTGCCTGACCTGGCGTTGCCTTTCTGTTTGTGATTGCAGGCTTCGGGCCCGGCGGGATAGGAGCTGGCATCGGGGCAGGAGGGAAGGCAGGATACCCCACCGGGACAGGTACGCTCCCTCCCCAGGCAGCCCCAGGGTGGGGAACTGACACGGGCATGGTGGGGAGACCAGCACCCCAGTCACTTTGCCAGTCCTCAGGTGGGGTGTTGGCCACTGTCTGGTGGCCTCAGGGTGGCAGTGTCACCCCAGGGACAGCCTGGAGGGGTGCATCGCCTCCCAAAGGAGAGGGGGGGGGCTGATGCTGATAGGAGAGGCGAGTCTCCAGGGGCCCTGCGGGATGGGGGAGCTGAGGTGGGAATGGTCTTGGGACCTCAGTGGTTGCCCATGTCCTTCCTCAGGAGTCGGAGCACAGGCGGCAGCAGCGAAAGCAGCAGCGAAATATGGTGAGTCGCCCTCCATGGTCACATCCATCACCCATTTCCCCAGTGGGGCAGCTGCTCCCTCCCTCCCTCCCAGGCAGACGGGGGGGGGGGGGGGATGCTGGTTGTGCCCCTGCATCACTGAGCTGACGATCCCCTTCTCCCCTGCGGCAGGAGCCGGTGTCCTGCCCGGGGCTGGCGCCATCCCGGGAGTTGGCGGAGTGGTACCCGGCGTCGGCGTTGTCCCAGGAGCTGGAGGTGAGGCGATGGCGGGTTTCGGCCCTGGGGCTCGGGGGGGGTCACCTCCCCCCATCCCACATCCCTGACTCTCTCCCACTACCCCGGCAGTTGGAGGGCCGGCAGCGGCGGCGGCAGCAGCGAAGGCAGCGGCGAAGGCAGGAGCTTTCGGTGAGTTCCCCGCTGTTTAGGACAGATCTGGCAGCTGCCTGCGGGACGGGGCTCACTCTTGGGGCACAGAAGAGCCATACATTGCTGCTGGGGCTGCACGGCTTCCCTGCCTGCCCCCCCACCCCCTGCCCCATCTCATGGGGGTGCTCTCCCAGCCCTCCGCCCCGGCTCCAGCAGCTGCTTGCAGGAGGTCAGGGCGAGGTGAAGGCACTCTGCTGAACCAGCGGCTTTGCAAGATGTGAAACCACCCCCCAGGGCTGCAGAGAGGCTTTACCCGCCTGGGGACAGATTCCAGCAGCCTGTTGGGAGAGCTGGGCTTGGGTATAGCAAAGCCTGCTTTGCAAAAAGCAGCTTTTTCAGTGACTGGCTGGCCACCTCACAGCGCAGCACCCCAACACAGGGCAGTACAACCCTGTCACGCATGGTTTCTCTAATAAGAGATGTGATTTTGCTGAGCTGGGCTCTGGCGAGGTGTCTGAGGAGACTGTGTCTCTAACGAGCCATCATTCATTAGCAAAGGGATGAGATGGTGATGTAGATCTCGAGTTCGCTGCTCCCCTTGTTGGCTGTTTTGAGGGAGAAAAGCGAGTAGCAAACAACCGCTCATTGGAGCGTTCAGAGGAAATGCGTCAGCCCCTGGAGCAGCTGGGATTTACAACCATGGCCTCAGGGGACCTCGGGGGTCCCCAAGCTCCTGGGTGGCTGGGTGGGCTCCAGATCCCTGGATTGGGTGTAGGGAGCTGAGAATCCCAATCCTGGGTGCATCCCAGGTCCCCTTAGCAGATAGTTTGGAAGGTGTGGAGAGCCTACCTCAAAACCAGGTGCCCCGGAGCCTCTCGTGACACTGGGGGAGACCATGTCCCCACCAGTGGCATGGGGAATTTTGGGGGGGGAGGGTCTGACTGCTCTGCTTTCCTCCAGGTCCAGGGGTGCTGCCTGGGGTTGGCGGTGTCCCAGGCCTCGTGCCCGGTGTTGGCGGTGTCCCCGGCTTGGTGCCCGGTGTCGGAGGCGTCCCCGGGGTGGCAGGTGACTGTTCCCAGGAGCCCTGTCCCCACCACCTGGCTCTGTGGGGGTGCAAAGGCTGGTGGCTGAGGGTCCCTCTCTCCTTTGTCCCCAGGAGTTGGGGGGCCAGCAGCAGCAGCAGCAAAGGCAGCTAAGTACGGTACGTCTGCGCGGTGCAAGGAGCTTCCCAGCAGCTCCCTCGAGACCCCCACTCACCCTTTCCACCCCTGGCACTTGGGGTGCCCCCAGGCAGGCGGGTGTCCCCCCGGGGATCACTCCTGATGTCTCATTATGGGGAAACACTTTGGGATGGGATGCGCCCAGCCCAGCTCCCAGCTGCTGTGTCTGGGCTTGGCTTCATCCCCAGGGCAGGACCTTCTCCCACTCTGGGGTTTCTGCAGGCTGATTCGTGGAGGTGAACAGTTGGGACCAAATGCATGTCTTCGGTCCTTCTCTGGATTCTTGAGTTTTGTACCAAATCTGGTTTTACAGCAGCAGACCTGACCCAGGGTCTGGTGTCCGTGGGCTCAACCTTGCTGCCTGGCTGGGCAGAGATCCCTGGCAGAGGGTCACCAACTTCCAAAAACCAGGTGGGACCCAGCATGTCTGTCTGACTTGGTCTAGTAAGACCCAGGTGCCCAGCAGGAATAACCACCCCCAAGGGAGTTCCAGTGAGGAAGAGCCCAGAGGGGAAAAGGGACATGGCCAAGCAGCAGTGAAGCTGCATCATCACTGCAGAGCCCTGGGAGTCCCCTGGGATCAGCCGTGCTCGTTAGCAGCTTTCCTTTGAGGGCTAAACCATTGCTGACCATTTCTTCCATTTCTCTTTCGCATCATGTAGCAAAAAATCCCACCACGTGCCCGAGGAAGGATGGGATTTAGGGAGAAACTTGGCAGTGACAAGTTAATGAGGGTGTGCTCTGTGCGGGGGTGCCAGGCACCTGCCAAGCAGAGAGCCATGAGGACAACCCCTCTGGCACTCAGCGCTTCCAGAAGTGACCTGATGCTTGTTCCTGTGACACTAATGAGGCCCAGCAGGTCAAGACTTTCACTGCCCTTGGCTGCTTCCCAGTCTGGCCAGTGCCCAGGGCACCTAGCCCTTCTAGGCAGCTACTGGGAACCAACAGCAACTTCTCCTGTGTGGCCTGTTTGGCTGCAAGGCTTGATGTCCCTATGATGAGGACCATCTGGAGCCTTCCATGATGATGAGGATCACCATGGTCCCCTGTGTTGGTGACTTCCCAGCCTTTCTTTTACAACAGCAAATTGATCATCCTTGCTGGGGCCTCTTGGGACACATGGGACCAGTCCCTGCCTTGCACTGCTGTGCATCTCTCCTGGAACCAGGTGGTGAGGTGCTCTCCTCACTGTGGCACGGTGACAAGAGCAGATGTATGACAAGGTCCTACCTTCCAGCTGTTCCTGCAACAAGATCTAACTTCTCTCCATGTGCCTGCAGGAGCTGGTGTTGGAGTTCCCGGCATTGGTGGTGTTCCTGGTGTCCCTGGTGTTCCTGGTGTCCCTGGTGTCCCTGGTGTCCCTGGTGTGCCCGGCGTGCCCGGCGTGCCCGGTGTGCCCAGTGTGCCCGGTGTGCCCGGTGTGGCTGGGGTTCCTGGAGTGGTCCCCGGTGTCGGTGGTGAGTGGATGGGCTGGCACAAGCCGATGGGTTGCTGCCGGCCTTGCCAGTCCCCTGACTCTCTCCCTTCTGTCCCCACAGTGGGTGGCCCAGATGCCGCGGCGGCCGCAGCGAAGGCTGCAGCGAAAGCTGCCGCATACGGTGAGTCACCGTCATCCTTCCCCGGGGAGGGAGGAGGGGTGCTGGCAGATGGGCAAGGTGGGGGCACCCCTGGTGCTGTGGGTGGCGGGGAGGTCGGCAGGACCCTGCCCACGGAGCCTGACTGCTCGGCCACATCCCTGAACCTCTCTGCAGGAGCAGGACGCGTGCCCGGAGTCGGTGTGCCCGGTGTTGGGGTGCCGGGTGTTGGGGTGCCCGGTGTCGGGGTGCCTGGTGTTGGCGTACCTGGAGTTGGGGTGCCTGGGGTTGGTGTTCCTGGTGTCGGCGTGCCTGGTCTGGTGCCCGGTGGAGTTGGAGGCATACCAGGTGAGATGGTGTCTAAGGGATGCTCGGGCTGTTCCCGGTGGTGCTGGCTGAGGGGTGCCGGCGTGGCCACCATGGCCCATCGCTGCCCCTCACGCTCCCCCTCTCCCCCAGGAGTTGGAGGTCCAGCAGCCGCCGCTGCTGCTGCCAAAGCAGCTGCCAAAGCAGCCAAATTCGGTAAGCTGGAATCTCTCAGGGGTTATCCCACCTATCCTGTCCCCTGCTGCCTCCCCACCCCAAGCTGCTCCTCTCGTCAGGGCTGAGGCCTGGCACTGCAGAGGGTCCCTGTGGGTTGGGGTGAGGGTTGACCTCTCTGCAGGGCTGTATGCGACATGAGGTCCTGGCTGTGTCACAGGGTGCTCTTCAGAGAGCTGGTCTGCATGGAGGCTCCTAGGTTCACCATCCATACACCTTCTCATACATTAGTCCATCCATCCTCCCTTCTACTCACCCACCTATCCATACCACCAGACAGACAGCCACCTCAGTATCTATCTGCCTTCTCATCTGTCCTCCCATCTGGACCTCCACTCATTCATCCATCTCACCGTCCATTTCACCATCCATCCATCCATCCATCCATCCATCCATCCATCCATCCATCCATCCATCCATCCATCCATCCATCCATCCACCTTGCCATCCATTCAAGCACTCCACATCCATCCACTTATCCATCCACCCTGCCATCCATCTATTCACTCCACACCCATCCACCCATCCATCCATCCATCCATCCATCCATCCATCCATCCATCCATCCATCCATCCATCCCATCCATCCATCCATCCATCCATCCCATCCATCCATCCATCCATCCATCCATCCATCCATCCATCCATCCATCCATCCATCCACCTTGCCATCCATTCAAGCACTCCACATCCATCCACTTATCCATCCACCCTGCCATCCATCTATTCACTCCACACCCATCCACCCATCCACCCCAGCATCCACCCATCCATCCATCCATCCATCCATCCATCCATCCATCCATCCATCCATCCATCCATCCATCCATCCATCCATCCATCCCATCCATCCATCCATCCCACCCATCCATCCATCCATCCATCCCATCCATCCATCCATCCATCCACCCATCCATCCATCCATCCATCCGCTCGCCCATCCCAGCCTGCCATGCCTTTTCAGCCAGCTCCTTCCACCACCTCTTCCTGAGCTGAAGCCCCAATCCTTTCCTCTCCCCTTGCAGGAGCAGGTGGCCTGGCTCCTGGCGTGGGTGGCCTGGCTCCCGGTGTAGGTGGTCTAGCTCCCGGTGTGGGTGGCCTTGCTCCTGGCGTAGGTGGCCTGGCTCCTGGAGTGGGTGGCCTGGCCCCCGGCGTTGGAGGTGTCCCAGGTGAGGAGGATGGTGGGTGGTAGTGGCAGCCTGGCTGGTGAGGGGCAGGTCTGGGGCAGGACAGGCGTGAGGAGGACCTTGGTGGTCTCCATCAACTCATGGCCAACCCTTGGGGGTGCAGACAAGGCGGGAGGGATGGGGTCTGACCCCCTGGGGACACTGACCCCCCTCTTGCTGTCTTCGCTCAGGGGTTGGAGGTCCGGCTGCAGCAGCAAAAGCAGCAGCAAAGGCAGCGAAATTCGGTGAGTTGACCGGAGAAGCCTGTCGCTCGCGGCTCAGCCCACAGCAGGCAGCCCTGCCCGCACGGTGGGCACCTGGGGTCTCCCCATGAGAGTCCAGGGGGGACCTGGGGGGCTGCAGGGGTGGGTACCCCATAGCAGGCACATCATCCCACAGGAGTGTGGGGATCACACGGGGGCCACCCCCACGCTGCCTCACCCCTTCTCTCTGCAGGTGCTGGGGTCGGAGGGGTGCCAGGCGGGGTGCCCGGCGTTGCTGGAGTGCCAGGAGTGACGCCCGGTGTTGGCGCTGTGCCCGGGTTGGTGCCGGGTGTGGGGGTACCCGGTACTGGCATCCTCCCCGGGGCAGGTACGTGCTTCATCACACCCCGGTTGGGGACATGGGTTGGGGACAGTGGTGGATGAGGGTGCTAAAAGCCACCGAACCACGTGCAGGCAGGACGGGGGACGGTGGCACACAGGACAGGTGGAGGGGTGACCGTCCTAACCATGGTGTCCTCATTCGCTTTGCAGGCATTCCCCAAGTAGGGGTGCAGCCCGGTGCTAAACCTCCCAAATTCGGTACGTATTCCTGCCACCCTGCCCGAGGTCCACCTCGGACAATCAACAGCACCCTCTTCCTGTGGCCATCGGGGTGCTGGCCTTGCTTCGTGTCCCCTGTGGCACTGGTGCCCCAGGCATGGGAGCTGGGGTGCTGTCACCCATGGGTGCGAAGTGCCACCTGTGTCCCCTCCCCTGGGCTTGCTGGGGACGTTTTTCTCCTGCTCTGCCTTGCCTGCAACAATGCGTCATGCTGGGGGTGAGCTCCCTCTAGGTCTTCTTGCTCCGGGTGCTGTGAGATTGGTGCTGGGGACACCCAGAATGAGTGTCAGGGCCACATCAGTGGGTTGAGCATTGGTTGGGGTTGCCCTGAGCTGTGGGTACTGGGCTTTGGGGGGACAGGGGTTAATGGTCTCTCTCTGGCAGGCGTTCCCGGAGCTGGAGTCCCAGGAGTCGGTGGCATCCCAGGTAGGTGCTGGCAGGACCTGAGCCCAAACAACTCCTGCCAGGGGATGTGTAGGCAGGGGGATGCTCCCCCAGGGCATGGGGGGAGTGGGGCTGCCTGGGAAAGGACACACGTGGGGCTGGGCGAGGAGCGGGTCAGGTGCTGCCCATCCCCACCGGTGCTCACCTGGGATCCCCGTCATAGGTGGCCTCGGAGTTGGTGGCCTCGGAGTTGGTGGCCTTGGAGTTGGTGGGCTCGGTGCTGGTGAGTGGTGCTGGCCCCTGGCATGGGGGCTCCCCAGGGCTGGGGTGCAGGGAGCGGTATGCTGGCAGAGTGCCGAAAAGGGAAGGGGATGTATGGGATGCAGGGTCACTTTTTGTCCCCTGCTGGTCCCACGGCGTGGTCCTGCCCCACACTGTCACCGTACCCTGAGCCCCATCTTGTCTCTGCCACCTGCCCTGCTCTCGGGGCGTGATCGGAAAGGAGTGCCATCACCAAGCAGGTACCAAGGGCCATAGCACCAGCGGTGCCCATGCCATGGGGACAGTGGACGGTACTGTACCATGTCCCCAACATGCAGAGATGCAGGTCCCTGCCTCGGGACCCTCTGGGCTCATAGCAGGGTCTGACTGCAGCCCCGGGGGCAGCGAGCCCCTTTGGGGCTACACTGACGCCCCTCTCTGACACAGGGATCTTGTATCCAGGAGCTGTTGGGAAACCTCCCAAGCCAGGTAAGGAACAGGGGCTGCTCCGGCCAGCGGGGCTGGAGGTGTGACCCCCCAGCCCTGTCCCCATTCCCAGCCCTGTCCCCACGCTCCTTGCTCTCATCAGGGCTCTCCCATCCCACAGGTTTTGGTGTTGGGGGGCTGCAGCCAGGTGAGTGCCGCCATTTGGGGCTGGGGTGGGAGCGTGTCCCCTACCACGCCACGCTCATCCCTGCTTGCTGTCCCCACCCTGCTGCTGTCCCCCACTGGGCATGCCACTACCTGGGAGAGCACCCCGAAGGCAGATGGGTGACATGGTGGGGACAAGGGTTTTTGCAGCAGCTTATGCCCCTGCAGTGAGCAAAGATCCCCAGGCAGGGTGTCCCCAGACAGGCAGGGTTGGGGTGACACTGCTGTCACAGGCTGTCACCAGCTATTGCTTTTTCCCCCCAGGGGCCGGAGTTCCTGGCTTTGGTGTGTCACCGATATTTCCAGGTATCATCCCCAGCTCGGCACCTTGGCACGCACCCGGGGCACCTCTCAGTGCCCAGCTGGCTCACGGGGACACACACAGCCCTCGGAGCACGGGGACATGGCCACGGCCTGGGGGGGGACCCGGGGGGCTGGGCTGAGCCGGGTGGGTGCTTGGCTGGGGGGTGTGGGCCGGAGCAATGTGGGTGCCCAGGGGGTGCTGAGGGCTTCACTCTCCTTTCAGGTGGGGTCGCCGGCGGGCTGGGATTCGGTGGTGAGTGTCCGTCCCCCCAAGTGGGGTATTTTGGGGGGGGGGGGGGGGGGGGAGTGGTGTGTGCACATCCCCCCTGCGCCCAGCGGCCAAGCGAGGTGAGGGTGCCGCTCACCCCGCTCTGCCTCCTCCCTGCAGGGAAGCCCCCCAAGACCTTCGGAGGAGCCCTTGGTGCGCTGGGCTTTAGAGGTGAGTGCTGACACTGGGTGACCCCGCTGGGGCCGGATCCTGGCCCACCCCCCCCCCCCCCCGGCCCTGCTCCCAGCCAGCCCCCCAAGGGCTTGGGGGGTGCAGAGAGGGGGGGGGGGGGGCTCACCCTGTGCATCCCCTCCCCCCCAGGCGGCGTGGGCTGTGCACAAGGGAAGTACTGCGGGAGGAAGCGGAAGTAACCGCTCGCCGTCACCGATGACCTCATGAACTTTGGTGCTACTGCATGGTCCAGAATGTAAATCCCAAGCAAAGCTGAGACAAACCCCCCCCCACCCCCCCCCCCCCCTTCCCAAAAACCCCGGACTTCCCCCCCCCCCCCACCTCCATCCCATCGCGGGACCATCGCCGGCCCGACGTTCCCAGGAGGGACCCCGCGCCTCCGGCAGTGCCCGTCCCCCCCCCCAGCCCCTCCATCCCGGCGGGGAGCGCGGAATAAACTGCGGGGAGCAGCCGTCCCCCTTGGTGCTATCGCTCCCTGCGGGATTTGGGGGGGGGGGGGGGGGATCTTGGGGTGTCACTCCCCGCCCCAGAGCTGACCCCGGGGGGGCGGGCAGGATGAGGGGCACCCCACATTGAGGGGAGGGAAGGGGATCCCGACAGCGGGGGGCTGCACGGGGAGGGATGTCCCTGTCAGCCTGGGGGCCCCGGTCCCCGCGCTCCCCCCGGCCCGGGGGGTCCGCGGGCAGGAGGGGCTCGGTCCCTTCATGTTACTCACTTTGCTATAACTGGGTGGGACGCCCTATACAGAGGGACTCGCTTCCGACAGACTAATAAAGGACAAGTTTTTAAAGGACTCTGGCTCCGTCCCATGTCCGTGTCCCCCTCCCTGTATTGGTGGCAGCGGCGGGTGGCCCAGCCCCGCGGGTGGCACTGCCCTGTGTCCTGCGCCCGTGGCTCTGCCCAAGCCTGGGGACACGCTGGGTCCTTGTTTGGGGGGACATGGTGTGCCCCACTGCGTGGTGACAGCCCTGGGACACAGCGGGTGGGTGAGGGGACGGCCTGGGGACCCAGGGGGATGCCCACGCCCTGTCCCACTGTGGCAGCCCCAGGGACGGGGCGGGGGGACACATCCATGTTCTGTCCCACAGTGAAAACCCAGGGACCCGGGGGGAGGTCTGTGCCCCGGCCCGTGGTGACAGCCCGGGGGCTGAGTGGGGACACCCGTGACAGCCCGGGGGCTGAGTGGGGACACCCGTGACAGCCCGGGCGATGAGTGGGGACGCCCGCGCCCGTCCCGCGGGGACAGCTCCATCGCCCTGCGTGTCCCCGATCCCCCCCGCCCCCCCCGGCCCGGCCCTGCCCCTCCCCTCCTGACCACGCCCCCACACCTCCCATCGGCCACGCCCCTTCGATTGGCCCCGCCCCCCCCGCGGCCGCGCCGGCGCCGTGCTCCCGCCCGCCCGTCCCCCCCGCCCGCCGGAGCCGCAGCGGCAGGGCCGGGGCCGGGGCCGGGGCCGGGGCCGGGACCGGGACCGGGACCGGGGGCAGGGCCGGGGGCAGGGCCAGGGCTGGGGCTGGGGGCGGGCGAGGGAGGGCGAGGGCGAGGGCAGGGCCTGGCGCGGCGCCGGGCAGCGCGGCTGCATGAGGTTGATGCTGCTGTGCTGCACCTGGAGGGACGAGCCTATGGGAGAGGACGAAGGTGCGTGACCCCCTCCGGACACCCCCCCCCCCCCCCCCCCCTTCTCCTCCTGACTCAGCGCTTCCGCCGCCACTAGGGCCCCGCGACCCGCCACCCCCCCCCCCCGGATCACCCGCATCCCCCCTGTACCCGCACATCCCCCCCTTGCACCCTTCATCCAGACTGCATCCTCCCCGCAGTCCCCCTGCACCCCTACATCCTCCTCTGCACCCCTCCCATCTAGCTTGCATCCCCCCACGTCCCTCTCTGCATCCCACATCCAGTCAGCGACCCCTCCAGCACCCCCACATCACCCCCTGCACCCCTCATCCAGCCTACATCATCCCCTGCATCCCCCCCTGCACCCCTTTGCCAGCCTGCAGCCCCCTTGCTTCCCTGCAGCCCCCACTGCACCCCTCTTCCAGCCTTCATCCCTCCTGCACCCCCATATCCCCCCTTGCACCCCTCATCCAGCCCACATCACCCCTTGCACCCCCATATCTTCTCCTCCATCCCTTTTCCAGCCTGAATCCCCCTTGCACCCCCACACCTCCTCCTGCATCCCCCTTCCAGCCTGAATCCCCCCTATACCCCCATATTCCCCCTTGCATTCCCCTTCCAGCATGCATACCCCATGCACCCCCAAATCTCCCCCTTTACATCCTATCCAGCCTGCATCCCTCCCTGCACCCCCACATCCCCCTTCTGCATCCCTCACACTCCCACATCTCCCTCTGCACACCCCATGTTCCCCTACTGCACCCCATCCAGCCTGCACCACCCCCGTGCATCCCTACCCCCCTGTATCCCACATGCCCCTCTAGCCTACATCCCTCCCCGCACCCCACAAACACCCTGCACCTCCTGCTCTGCACCCCAATATCCCCCCACACCCCCTATCTCTCCTGCCTCTTTCCCTGCACCTCCACATTTCTAATGTGTCTCCCATCCACTTTGCACCCCCCAGACCCCTCATCCTACCCTGCACCCCCATTGAACATGTACCCCCAGTACCTCCGCAGCCACCCTGCGTCCCTCTCACCCCCCCTCCGTTGCACCTCCATATCCCCCCCTGCACCCCCTGTGTGCCTCTGCACCCCTTTCCAACCTGCAGTCATCCATCCTGCACCCACCCTGCACCTTCTGTGTCCCTGCACCCATCCTGCACCCCTCTGTGTCCCCCCATGCACCCTGCATCCCCCAGCACCCATCCTGCGCCCCTCTGTGTCCCCCCATGCACCCTGCATCCCCCAGCACCCATCCTGCACCCCTCTGTGTCCCCCCATTCACTTTATGTCCCACTGGATCCCGCCTTTACATCCCTTCCATCCTGCACCTCTTCATCCTCCCCGCACCCCCTCTGCACCCCTTGCCCCCATCCTGTACCTCTTCATCCCCCCTGCACTCGGTGCCCCCATCCTGCACCCCTGTATCCCTCCCTGCACCCATCCTGCACCCCTTCACCCCCTCTGCACCCAGCCTGCACCCTTGCATCCTCACTGCACTTCCCTTCCAGCCTGCATCCCCCCTGCACCCCAAGATCTCCCCCTGTACCTCAAATCCAGCCTGCATCCCCCGCTGCACCCCTGTACAGCCCACATCCCTGCCTGCACCCCCCCTGCACCCCTTCACCCCCTCTGCATGCTCTGCCCCCCTCCTGCACCCCCACCATCCATCCTGCACCCATCCTGCACCTCAGTGTGTGCCCCCATCCCGCCCCTCCTGCACACCCAGCTGCAAGCACCCGGGCCCCCCTCTGTCCCCCGCATCTCTGTGCACCCCCAAACATCCATCCTGCTGCTTGCTCAGCACCCTGCTGTGTCCCCAGCCACCCCTGCACCCCCCGACCTGCCTGTCCCCTGTGCTGGCTGAATCCTGCACCCCTCCCCAGCACCTCTGTGGTGGGTCCCCAGTGCCACCCCTTAAACCTCCCTGTACCTCATATGCACCCCAGCTTCCCTACGTCCCCCCACCCCTGTGGTCACCCAGCACCCCCCTCCCCGGTGACGTGGGTACACGCGATCACAGCAGTGTCCCCAGGGACCAGGCGCGCAGCGTGGGCCCCAGCTGGCACCACCGCGCAGGGCCCCTGCCCTGTCCCCAGCCTCGGGGACATCCGCGGCGCGACCTTGTCCCCATTACAGGATCAATGCGTGGCGGGTGGAATTCATCACCCCCCCACAGAAGCGGGGGGAGGGGGGGGGAGTTGTGCCTGGGTGCTGTGGCGGGGAGGGTGGGGAGAGCTGGCGGGGTGACAGCCCTGTCCCCCTTGTGTCCCCCAACCTCCGTCCAGGGACCGACCTGCCGGTGTGTGCGAGCTGCGGGCAGGGCATCTACGATGGGCAGTACCTGCAGGCGCTGAGCGCCGACTGGCACGCCGACTGCTTCAGGTAAGAGCCCACGGGGTGGCACTGGGGACATTGGGGTGCTCTGCGGGGACAGGGACGGTGGACACCCCCAGCCCTCCCCCCACCCCACCCCTGCAAATTCCAGCCACGGACACGGATGCTCGCACGAGCGTGGCTGCGTGTCCCCCATGGGGCAGTGCAGGCAGTGGGGCGCGGGCAGGGGTCAGCCTGGCAGAGGGGCTCTGCTGCCTGTACCCCACTGTCCCTTCCTCCCCCGGTGACGGTGACGGGGCGTGCGGGGCTGATGTCACCCGGCCCCCTCCCTCCCTCCCTGTTTCCTCTTTCACTCGCGCCCTCCCGGTAGCTCGAGCGGTGGGAGCCACCGAGGAGGAGGAGGGTCCCGGGTCGGGGGGGGTGCAAGGGGTGGTCAAGGACGGGGTGGGGGACCTGTGGGATTTGGGGTGCTGAGAGCGGCGGGGGACCAGGGTGCCCCCCCCCCCCCCCAGTCCCGTGGAGGATGCTGGCGGCGGTGCTGAGGAAGAGCCATGTCCTGAGCGCTGGAGCCAAGTGAGTGGGAGTGGGTTGGGTGGGACTCTGCACCCCCCGGACCTCTGGGGTGCTCTGCCTGGCCCCCTGGAGTGCTGTGTCTGTGTGTGTGTCCGTGTGTCCGTGCTCGCCCCTCCCCGCCCGGGGCCATCAGCCCCAGTGAAACCACTGCGGGGCCGCAGCTGGCTCAGGGCCCCCCCACGGGAGACCGACTTCCGGCAGCCCTGGGCTCGCTGATGCACAAGCCTTCCTCCTCCCCTTCCTCCTCGCCTTCTCCCAGTGCCCCCCCGCCCCTCCTTGCAGCTGGGGAGGGGAGCGTGGGCCTCAGCCCGGTCACGCGTGGGAGGAGGAGGGATGTGGCTGCCCCGTCGAGGTGCCGTGGGGAGGCAGGGGTTAAGGGGGCGGGGCCGAGCGGCTGCCCACCCCCCCCACCCCCCTTTTTGGCTACCGCCCCCCCAAACCCAAGGGAGGCTTCGGGCTGCGCAACCGGGCGGCGGAGTCCTCGCGCGGTGACGTCATGGGGTGGGGAAATTCCACGCCGTGACGTCACGCCTGGTCGGTATTCCACCTGCGGGCGGCGCCCCTCCACGGCGGGTGGGAGGGGGGACGGGCACTGCGGCAGTGCCCGTGCACCCCCCCGATGTAGCACCCCATATCACAGCACCCCCGCACCCGCCTGTGCACCCCCAAAATTCCCAGCCCCCCCCCCCCCTGCACCCCTGGGCGCACCTTCCTATTGCACAGCCCCGTGCCCCCCCCCCCGCCTCGCTGCACCTCGCTGCACCCCTCCATCCCCCTGCACCCCCACCTCACACTCCCAGCACAGCTCCCCCTGCACCCCTGAGGCTGGCATGTCCATGACCGTGCTGTCGCATCCCTCTGTCTGTCCGTGACCAGACTGGCATGTCCCTCCATCTGTCTATGCCAGGCATCCGTGACCCGGGTGGCATCTTCGTGACCAGGCTGCCACATCCAAGCAGTCCTGGCACCCCCCCTCCCCACGCCTGTCCCTGCCCCGTGTCCCCTGCCCTGTCCACCCCGCATGTCCCCGCACCGCCAGCCTGCGCTGGCACCCTCGGAGCCACCTGCTGCCACCCTGGGGACGGTGACACAGGGGTGCGGTGGCCCCGCAGCGGGGTAGGAAATGGCAAGCAGCTTGTCCAGGGAGCCAAGGGGTGGGCGGGCACTGGCTGCACCCTGGAGTGACGATGGGGGTAAGGTGACGATGGGGACATGGTGACAAGGGCGTCCCCGTCCCCTGCCGCAGGTGCTGCGAGTGCGGGGCCTCCCTGTCCCACCAGTACTACGAGAAGGATGGGCGCCTGTACTGCAAGAAGGATTACTGGGCGCGCTTCGGGGAGCTCTGCCACGGCTGCTCCGAGCAGATCACCAAGGGGCTGGTCATGGTGAGTGCCGGGGGGTGTCCCGGGTCGGGGGGACACACACACGCAGCCCTGACCCATGGCTGAGCTCCCTGGAAAGGGGGTGAGGTGGGGAGGGGTTGCAAATCCCCAGCACAGGTTGAGCTCTGGGGATGGCAGGGGTGTCCTCTGCGTTTTAGGGGGACCCCGAGGGGGGTTGCGCCCCTATTTAGGGGCTGGGGGGATGCCAGGGGGGAGGCTCAGGGTGGTGGGGAGATGTCCCTGCAGCCATCCCCAGCCCGGTGGCATGACTGTCGTCCCTGTGCGTGTGTGTGCCCCCACACCATGGCTCATCCTGCCCTTCCTTTGGCCCTGGTGCACCCATGGGTGCTCCCAGCACCCATGCTCGGTGGCCAGGGTGCCTGCGTCTCTGGGGCTGATGGCATCTGCCCGCAGGTGGCCGGGGAGCAGAAGTACCACCCCGAGTGCTTCAGCTGCCTCAACTGCCGCACGTTCATTGGGGACGGGGACACCTACGCGCTGGTGGAGCGCTCCAAGCTTTACTGGTAGGTCCCAGTTGGGGTAGGAGGGGACACACGTGTCCCCTGCCCCCTCTCCACCCCCCGCCACCCACCTGCCTCCTCTCGCCCCGCAGCGGGCACTGCTATTACCAGATGGTGGTGACACCGGTCATCGAGCAGATCCTGCCGGATTCACCAGCTTCCCGCATCCCGCACACCGTCACGCTCGTCTCCATCCCAGCCTGCTCCGACGGGAAACGCGGCTTCTCCGTCTCCATCGACCAGGGCTGCGGCACCGAGCACCCCTGCACCGTCCGCGTCCGAGAGTGCGTCTGTGTCCCCTCTGCCACCGTCCCCTCCCCAGGGCTGGGGGCATCCCACCCCCCCTTTCTGTGGGATCCACCCCACAGAGGTTTTTATGGAGTGGGAGGGTGAGGGATAGGGGCTGATGTGTCCTCATCGGCCAGGGGTGGCCAGCGGGGACTGTGGTGGCACGTCCCCAACTACCGAGGTGGTTTGTGGGGACTGTGTTGGTGTGTCACCGGCCATCAGGGTGGCTTGGGGGTGACATGCTGGCGTTGCCCCATCTGCCAGGGTGGGCTCTGGGTACCATGCCTGCACGTCCCCATCTAGCAGGGGTGACTCGTGGGTACTGTGACTGCGTGTCCCCATCCCGGAGGGGTGACTCACGGGTACCGTGACAGCGTGTCCCCGTCAAGCAAGGGTGACTTGTGGCAGCGTGCCTGTGTCCCCATCCAACAGGAGTGACTCGTGGGCAGCATGCCTGTGTGCCCCCAGCCAACAAGGGCAGGTCGCCTGCCTGTCCCCAGCTAGCAGGGGTCACCCGTGGGCAGCTTGCCTGCCTGTCCCCATCTGGTAGGGTGACCCGTGGGTGGTGTGCTTGCTTGTCCCTGTCTAGCAGGGGTGGCTCGTGGGCAGCTCGCCTGCACGCCCCCATCTCGCAGGGGTGACTTGTGGGTACCCTGACAGCATGTCTCCATCTCGAAGAGGTGGCTGGTGGGGAACATGACGGCCTGTCCCCACTGGCTGGGGGTGGCTCGTGGGCGGTGTCCCAGCACATCCCCACCCGTGACGGTGTCAGGGGGCTGATCCCTGCTCTCTGCTGGCCCTGCAGGGTGGATCCAGACTGCATCAGCCCTGACATGAAGAACTCCATCCACGTGGGCGACCGCATCCTGGAGATCAACGGGACCCCCATCGGCCACGTCCCCCTGGATGAGGTACGCTCCCCCAGGGGTAACCAGCCCCCCTCCCCGGGGTGTCCCCCAAACCACCCCCACCATCGTTTTTCTGCCCCTAGATCGACCTGCTGATCCAGGAGACCAGCCGCCTGCTCCAGCTGACCATCGAGCACGACCCCCACGAGCCCCTTGCCCGCGAATCGGGGCTTGCCTGCAGCCCCCTGCCCGCCCCGTGCAGCCCCCTGCGCTCCCCAGCCCCCCCGCCCTGCGGGGAGCCCGGCACCATGCGCCAGCGGACGGTCACGTAAGGCCACCAGCTCCGCCCCCCTTTCCTGTTGGGGTCCATTCTTGGGGTTGACCCTCTGTCTGTCTGTCCGTCCATCCCGTAGGAGGAGCTGCAGCACGGACAAGTCTCCGGGCTCCGGCTCGGTGGGCTCGCCCGCCTCCCAGCGCAAGGACATCGGGCGCTCCGAGTCGTTGCGCATCGTCTCCCGTGCCCATCGCATCTTCCGCCCCTCCGACCTGATCCACGGCGAGGTGCTGGGCAAGGGCTGCTTCGGCCAGGCCATCAAGGTGGGGCTGGGTGGCCACAGGTGTCAGGAGGGTGAGGGTTTCGGCTCTCCTGGGGTGTCCCCAGAGGTGGGGGGGTGGTAGCCGGGAGCCGGTGGCTCAGCCCCTGCCCTCCCTGCAGGTGACACATCGGGAGACGGGCGAGGTGATGGTCATGAAGGAGCTGATCCGCTTCGATGAGGAGACGCAGAGGACCTTCCTCAAAGAGGTGAGTGGCCCCTTTCTTTAATCCTCCTGGTTTGAGGGGGGTGCACAAGAGGTGGGGCTGTCTGATCCGGTCCCCCACACTGGCACGGGATGCTGGGCATGACACCTGGAGTGGGGGTGGCTGGGCACCACGGGGTGCAGGCAGCCCTGCCTGTTTAACGGAGAACACGTGAGTGGCAGGTCTGTCCGGGTGGGTGCTGAGAGCCTCGGGGTGTCACAGGCTCGGCGGGGGGGGGGTCCTGCAGGTGAAGGTGATGCGCTGCCTGGAGCACCCCAACGTGCTGAAGTTCATCGGGGTGTTGTACAAGGAGAAGAGGCTCAACTTCATCACAGAGTACATCAAGGGGGGCACCTTGAGGGGCCTCATCAAGAGCATGGTGAGCACTGGGGGGGGGCAGGTGGGCCCCTCACCACCACACGATCCCCGTGGGGTGGGGGGACCCCCCGCTTCTTTTCTCTTCTCTGGCAAATCCCCGTTCCTGCCTTCAGGACAGCCACTACCCCTGGAGCCAGCGGGTCAGCTTCGCCAAGGACATCGCCGCTGGCATGGTGGGTGCCACCAGGGGACGGGTGGGTGGGATGGGTGCCGGTGGGTGGGGGACCGTGGGGTGGGGTTGCCCCCCTGCTCTCAGCCCATCCTTCCCCCAGGCCTACCTCCACTCCATGAACATCATCCACCGTGACCTCAACTCTCACAACTGCCTCGTGCGGGAGGTGAGTCCCACCTCGGTGGTGTCCTCCCCTGGCCCGGGTGGGGGTCTCAGCCCCCTTGCTTGGCTCCCCCCCGCATTGCTTCACCCTTCTCCATCCACCCAGAACAAGAGCGTGGTGGTGGCTGATTTTGGGCTGGCGCGGCTGATGGTGGATGAGAAGAACCAGCCTGAACATCTCAAGAATCTGAAGAAACCGGACCGCAAGAAGCGGTACACGGTGGTGGGGAACCCGTACTGGATGGCCCCGGAGATGATCAATGGTGAGCCTGGCCGTGGTGCTGGGGGTGGACGTGGCCAGCCAGGCCTCTGTCCCCAAACGGGGGACACTTGGTGAGGCAGTGACAAGACGTGCAGCATAGCCTGACCTGTCTCTCCCCAGGGAGGAGCTACGATGAGAAGGTGGACATCTTCTCCTTCGGCATCGTCCTGTGTGAGGCAAGTACCATCGGGGTTGGGGTCTCCCCCTTGGGGTTGGGGGTCTTCATTGTGTTTGGGGTTCCCCCCCCTTGAGGCTGAGCCCGCTCCTCCCTCTCGCTCTCCCCCAGATCATCGGCCGGGTGAGCGCCGACCCCGACTACCTGCCCCGCACCACTGACTTCGGCCTCAACGTCAGGGGCTTCCTGGACCGCTACTGCCCCCCCGCCTGCCCCCCCAGCTTCTTCCCCATCGCCGTCTGCTGCTGCGACCTGGACCCGGAAAAGCGGTGAGTGGTTGGGGCCCCCCCTCCCCCCAACTCCCTCGGGAACCACTGGGACTGCTGGCGGGGAGGTGGGGGGGGGAGGGAGGGGGCCAGCAGAGCTGCCACATGTGTGTCCCCCCCCCCCCCCCCCCTTCTCGCTCAGGCCGTCCTTCAGCAAGCTGGAGCAGTGGCTGGAAACCCTCCGCATGCACCTGGAGATCCACCTACCGCTGAGCTCCCAGCTGGAGCAGCTGGACCGAGCCTTCGGGGAGACGCACCGGCGGGGCGAGGGCGGGCTGCCCGCACCCCCCCGATAGAGCACCACCCCCCCCCCCACCCACCCCCCTTCTGAAACCGCGGGAGAAGGAGCTGTACCCCACCGCCAGCGTCTTCTCCGGCTGCCGCCGCCCCAGGGGCTGGATCCCTGGGGCCCCCCCGGATGAACCCCCCAACTTGTCTCCTCCGCACGGGCTGCTCGCGCCGCTGCCCGCACCGTCCCCAGGAGCTGGCTCTCCCCGGGGCTGCACGGCCCCTGTGCATCCCCCCCACACGCCGTAGCTCTTACCCCCCAGGACAAGCCCAGCCGGCTGCACCGTGGGGGCCATCCCGGTGTCCCCATGTCCCCCCCCGCCCCCCCCACTGCCCTGCCCCAGCTCGCTTCGCCTTCGCACGCCCCGGGGGGGGGGGGGGGGGCTGCGTGGCCGCCGCACCCGCACGAGCCCCGTGGGCTCCCCCATACAGAGCCGCGGCCTCGCGGTGGTGCCTTGGCTTTCTGTGAACTTGCACTGCGACACAGGAGGGACACCCCGCTTCTTTTTTTTTTTTTTTTGGCAGGGGGGGGTGGTGTACACTGCCTCTGGCCCCCCCTGGGGGGGACGCAGGTCCCGGAGTAGCCTCGTAGCAATGCCCTCGTCCTCAGCCGGCCCCTCTCACGCTGCTTCTACCGGCACCCTGGGCTCGGGGGGCTGCTGGCACCCCTAGACGAGCGAGGGGTCCGGAGGGGGAGGGAGGAATGACACCCCCATAGCGTGGGGACAGGCACGTAGCGGTCCCTGCCACCCCCCACGTCCCTGCTGCCCGTGCTGATCCATGACCGCGCATCCCTGGGGATGACGGGTGGTCCAGGAGGTGCGGGGATGCGGCTCGTCTCGGTCCCCTTGACCAGAGGTGGTTGGGGGGGGGGAGGTTTGCGCCACGCGGTGCTTTTCATGCTCTTTATTCAGGTTCATTTTTCTGTAAGATATTTAAAGAGAAGAGTTTGTATTATTTTTTCATACAACGTAGCGTTTGCCATTTGTCACTGCCTCGGTTCTGCTTTCCCGAAGGGATGAAACTGTGAAGCCTCTCCGCGCACTTTTGCCCGGGAAGTCCAAGGCGATGTCCTCTCTGGAGGCGGGAAGGGAGCTCAAACTGTGATGTACCCCGAGCCGTGAGTCAATAAATCCTTCCCTGCTCGCTGCCCGGCCTGCTTGGGAATCGCTCGCCTCCCCCCGGGGGGGGCTGGGAGCTCTTGGGGAAACTGAGGCAGGAGGGGCTGGTCCCTCTGCTCGAGGTGGTGCAGTGGTACTGGGCTTGGTGGCATCCTCCAGCTCGGTCACCCCCGTGGTGACAGCACTGTTGTCCCCGTTTGTGCTGTTCCCACCCCATCATGGGGGGGGGTGTGTGTGTGTCCCCAGCCCTGGGACTGATGCCATCCCTGCCCGCACCACCTGGCCAGGCCCCGAGGACCCTCAAGCCCTGTGTCCCCTCTCTGTCTGGCCGTGCCTACTATCACCCCACACGATGGCAGAGCCCACGGTGGTGACGGGCAGGGAATCATGCGGAACCGCGTGTGCCGTGTAGCAGCTTTGCCTTCAATGTAAAAAAAGCCCCAGGGACCAGCAAGGTGGCCTGTGCCCCATGCAGTGGTGGCCCGTGGTCATCCCATACTGTCCTTCTGTCCCTGTCACTTTCCTAACCTGAATTAAGGTCCCCAAGGTGGGGGGAATCTCCATCCTCGGGGAGGGTTTGAACCTTGGCTAGAGAAAACCTGGACCTCCAGGAACTCATGGCAGGGGTGATGGGGAAGAGACCCAGGGATGTCCTTGAGGATGTCCCCAGGGGTGCTGCAGCTGGGCGAGGAGGGGGAGGAGACAGCGCAGCCCGAAGAGGTCCCTGCATCCAGGCTGGGCCCCCCCCCCCCATCAGGAAAACCTCGTGGCTTATTGCTCCGGGGATGCTCAGCTTCAGCACAGGAGGGAGTAAGGGAAGTTGGGGAGGTGACGGCAGCTCAGTCCCACCCCCAGGGTGGCTTCTTCATCTGACTGCCTGTCCCACATCACCCCGGTGAAGGGACAGGGGCAAACACCCTGCCAGTGTCATGGTGCCGTCCCAGCGCCCTTGGTGACATCACACCGCCCCGGTTCTTTGCTCCGGGAGCAGGACACCATCACTCCCCAGGAACATCGGGGCAGTGGGGGACCAGCTGTGGCCATCACCCCTGGGAAACACCATGGTCCCCAACCCCCTGCCACCACAGGAGAGCAGGACCCCAGGGGACCCCCAGCCTCGCAGCGGGAACCCCCAGTCCCCACAGGACCCCCAGTCCCCCCACAGCCCCTTGTCCAGCTGGATGGAGCTGCAGAGTGAGACGTGCATGGTGCAGCCGCGGCCACTGGGCCACTTGCAGAGGATCTTTGGCGCCGGGCAGGGGGACAGCCGGGCGAGAGCCAGCAGCCAGCCGTGGCAGGGCCAAAGCGGTGGCCACTCGGTCACCCCTGCGACCCGTGCCTCGCCCCAGACCGAGCCACCATCCGGGACCTTCCCCCCATCAGGCAGGGACATGGGCCTGGCACAGCCCTGGTGGCCCCACACCACGGCCGTCCCCCACCCAAAGCCCCCCCCCAGGGATGTGCGGCACCCCGTGCCCAAATCCGGCCACCAGTGTGTGGGGCACCCGGCCCCTCACCGGCCCCGTGCCCAGCCAGCGGCAGCCTGGCAGGGCTCCTCGCCCCCGCAGCCCCCCTCAACAAGGCCTGATGCCAGCGTGAGGGGCTCGGCGTCCCCACTCCCGACACCTGGCTGTCCTCCCCAGCCGTCACCTCCCAGGAGGGAGAAGGGCACCCAGACCAAGCCACAGACCCCCGAGAGCTGCCCCCATGCTTCCTGTCCCCTCCAGGCTCCTGCTCTGTCCCCACCCGAGGGGGTTCCCAGGGACATCCCCTGCAGGGCTCTGCCCAAGCTTGGCCCTGGCTCGGCGTGGTGGCCCTTGCTGCAGGCGGTGAGACAGACGTCCCCATGTCCCACGTCCCCGCTGGCAAGCCAGCAGCCAAGTGCCACTGAGGTGGTGGCCAAAGGCAGCAGTGACTCTGGCGAGGACACGGCTGAGCCGCTGCTGCTCAGCAGAGCCTCCCCCACTGTCCTGCATGAGGCCCAGATCGAGAGCTCCGGCTCCGGCCGTGACGATGGGGACGTGTCACCAGCCACTGGGTTTATCACCTTCTTCATGGGTAAGTTTGGAGGGGCCGGGTGGGGGGGGGAGAGCAGGGTTTTTCCCCAGCATCTCAACAGGGTGGGCACTGGTGCTGCTGGGGACCCGTCTCGGGGGACAGCAGCTGCCTGTGGGCAGGGGGTGACAGGCAGCGGGGTCCTCACAAGGCTTGAGATGTTCAAAGAGTGGAGGTGCGGGGCTGGGGTCTGGCTGGGGCAGGTCTGTAGAGAGCTGGAGAAGGTTTACTGGGATCCCACCAGGGTGCCCAGCTCCCCAGGGACAAGGGGAGCTGGAGAAGGGTCACTGGAGTCCAGCAAGGACATCCAGCTCCACAGGGATGCGGGGACAGGTCCCCATCCTCGGTCACAGGAAGGCTCATCCGCACTTGGAGGATTTTCTGGTGGTGAGTGGGAAGTGACAGTGGGGACCAGCACTTCTGTGGCTCTGCCCATCCCTGCTTTGAGCCGGAGGCTGGACGAAAGATGTCCTGAGATCTCTCCTGTCTTACACCTCCCTGTCCTACAGCTGGTGCTTGGCTCTGCAGGGTCTGTCATGGTTGACACCGTCCCCAGAGCCACTCTTTGTCCCCTGGGCACAGCGTCCATCCTTCCAGCTCTGGACTGGGGACTTTGCATGGTTCAGGACTACCCTGAGCCCTCTTTCCATGATTTGGGCAGAGAGGTGTCACTGTTACAGCCCCGTGTACCCCCCCAGCAGCCTGGGCTGGGACAGGAGCCACCTCCTTATAGCTTGTGCGTGTCACCAGGACCTGGTGCCTCCACAGGGTGAATCCAGACCCCAGAAACCCCCGTGGGGCAGCAAGACCAAAACTGGTGGGTCAATACCTGACTGCCTCAGTTTCCCCTCTTGCTGGGATGTGGGATGGGGGTGCTGGGAGTGGGGATGGGAAGAAGGGGCCGTTGCTCCAGCTCCCTGTCCCCCCACAGATGGGGCTGATGCGAGGCATGCTGACGTCCTCTGGTCCCTGAAAGGTGAGGCTCGTCCTGAGCAAAGCCAGGCAGGGAAACCCTGTGGGCCCTGCGTTGCCACCTCGCTTGCCAGTGTTTTTTGGAGGATTTACATAAACGTGGCATTTTTAAACACAGCACTGAGGCTATGGCTCTCCTGTGTTTTGCTGCGGCATCACTGCCCTCCCTGATTGCCCACCCATCCCTGCCCCTCTCTGCCAACCGGGGACCTGGCTGGTGGGCCTGTGGGGGGACACAAGGAACCTGGGGAGGGACAGTCAAGGATTAGATGGGGGTCCCTGGAAAACTTCAGCTGCTTCTGATGGGAAAATTTGTTTCTCCTCGGTCCCGCTGCTGTCCTCCACTGGTTGCGGTGCAAACCCCTTCCTGGCCATGGCTTCAGCGGAGGAAGTAAGCAATGGGCTGGGGCCGTGGGGTGGGAGCTCGGGGTGACACTGGGGTGCTCCCAATTCCCCAGTGCCACCAGGTCCCCAGGTCTGGCACTGGAAATGGGCAGCATTGGCTTGAATCCTTTGCAAAGGGTTTGCTGGGGCTGGTGACATGTGATGATTTGTGGGAGGGCTCAGCCAGGGTCTGGAGGGGCAGGCAAAAGGTCTGTGTGTCCAAGGCGTGGGGTGGCACCTCCTGGGCTTGTGGGTTTGGATGGCTGTGACTCTGTCCCCACTGCTGTGCCACTGTCCCATGGAGCTCACCCTGTGCCCCTCTGAGGGGTTGACACTGGCCGGGTATGGGGGAACGTGGCTCCTGAGAGCCCCCCAGGTCCCCCCTACCCTGACCAGGGACTGGAACTGCCCAGAGAGACACATCCTGGGGGACTTGGAGCAAGGATGGGGTGACCCTGTTGCATGGATCTGGGGGGCTGGGAGACCCTGGTGTGTGGGTTTAGGAAGACCACAGTGTGTGAGTTTGGGAGGGCTTGGAGACCCCAGAACAGGGGTTTAGGGGGCTGGGAGACCCTGGCATGTGGTTTTAGAATTTGGGGGACTCCAACATGTGTGTTTGGGAGCTACTTGTTCCCCTACAGGGAGCAACCCAGGCACGAGCAGCCCTTCCAGGCTCAGAACAAGGGAAAGGCGGCAAAAGGCAGGAATGGAACCCCAGGCTTTTGGGGTGCCACCCTGGGCACAGACCCTGAGCCCACCTGGACCCTGGGCTCAGGATGTCTGGAGCAGATCTTGGGGGGCATCGCGGGGTGCACAATGTGGCTCATCCTCTCTGTGCTGGGAAAAATGAGTTTGTCCCCAACATGGAGGCTGTTTGGCTGCTTCAGAGACTGGAAAGCACAGCCTCCCTGCCCAGCTGCCACCTCTGCCCATCATTCAGGGTGGCTTTTGGGATGGACCCTTCAGGTCTTTGTTTCCTGGGAGATTTTATTTGGAGCAGTGGTGAGGTGCTCCTCTCTAGCTGGCATTCCTTGGCCCAACCTCCATGCTGGGAAGGCCCCAAAACTGGACCCGTTGCAACAGAAAGAGCTAAAAATAGCGGTTCTCACGGTGGATGCAGAATAGCATCCGAACACACAGCCTCTGAACCTGCCAGCAGCCAAGGTCGAGGCTGACCCCCCAGCTCCCTTCCAGGCCTGGCAGACACCCTGTGCTCTCTACGACCCCAAGTCTTCCCCCACTGACCTCCCCCTTTGAAGCCCCCCCAGTGCAATCAAAGCCACCACGACCCACCTTGACGCTGGGGCAATGCTGGGTGCAGGCAGGGGGGAGCAGGCAGCCCCCCCCGGGTGCAGGCAGCAAGGAGGCAAGGGGTTAACCTCCCTGCACCCGCCGGATGCAGCATCCTGGGCTGGGCTCTTCCCATCTTGTTTTGGTTTGGAGGAATAAAAGCTTTGGCAGCGGCATAGCCACTTCCCAAAATAACTCAGCCTCCCATGGTAATTATAGAGCTCTGGTCCCCAGTAGCTGATCACAGTGGCTTCCCAGCCCTGCTGGTCCCTGCCATGCCCTGATAACTCTGCTGCCAGCCGGGGTGAGGGAGACCGGGGTGCCTCG